AACTAACCTTAAATTACGTCCTAAAAAATGCCTACCATAATTATTGAAAAAGGAAAAGCATACACTCACTAAACAAGAGAAAATCCTTCACAACTAGAGGAGAAATAGTCACCGATGTATAGGAAGTGACCACCTCATCAAAATATTAAGCCAAAGACACAAACTCAACCATAGGAAGAGATTTTAAATTGCTTCCTAAAAAAACCTACCACAAGCTTATTGAAAAAGGAGAAGCATACCTCCTATGCTTTTTCACAAGAGTTTGGGCACCCTCTATGCCCGACCTCCTACTAACAATAAGCCTAAAGGAAGAGAAGCTTCAACATCCTTAAAACTTCTCTTAGAAATAACTTTATGTCCTATCGAAGAAGACGTGATGAAGAGTTAACTATTAAAAAGAAAAACATGTTAAAAACCAAACAACAATGGCTAAAATAACAAAAGAAAGAAAGTTTACATCAATTACCCTATACGCTCTCGATCAAAATTTGAACCTAGGCAAGTAAGTCAATGCTAAAGATGCCATTCAATGTCCTAAATCAACTTAAAAAAGAGAATTCTTCGAGTGAGAGAGGAACATGATCATTATTAGTCTACCTAAAGTGTCTCCAAAATAGGAAACACCTTTATATAGCCTTATCTTCTTAAGAGATTGATCTTTCATAATGTATAACAAATCATTCTCCTTGTCAATCGCTAGAAAGATCGGTGTCGGCAACAAATACCCTATTCAAAAGGCTAGACTCTCTAGAAAGAAGGTTGTACATGTAGGATCTGTCTTCTTTCTTACTTACCTTCTTCTTTCAATAAAAAAAAAATAGGGGGTCCTTAAAAGAAAACAAAAATTTATAAAGTCACAAGTGTGGTCAACCTATCAGGAAAAGGTTGGCTCAAACTTATGCCAAAATGGCAAAAAGTGACCCATTAAAAAAAAAAGAATCGACCTCGTACTCAATGTAAGCAAGGACATTAACTCTAGGTCTCCGCGAAACCTTTACGGTTCATGACCCCTATCCTATCCGTAAGGCAATGAATAACAAGACAAAAGCTCTCACTTAAAGAATAGCCATAAGCATTGATCATGTTGCTAGACACAATGCTTAAGCCTCTTTTAATACCAATAGGCTTGAGCATTGGCCCTTCTTCAAGAGAAAGGACAACCCTTATTCCTTCAAGAATAATAAGCTCCCTTATATTACGATTCGCTCCTTCAACGTTAGAGTTAAACCCCTAATCATCAAGAGCAGCACCCACTACCTTTCTAACTCTCTTTAAATCCTCTATTTTCTTTTTGAAGATCAAGTTAGAAAAAATATTACTTACACAAGCTTGAAGAAAAAAATCTCTATAAGAAAAAAGATAAAAGAACTACTAAATATCGGTAGAAAAAGATAAAGGATAAATACGGACTCACCAAAAAGAACTCTCACAAACCCACTAGGAAATTTCAAAAGTAAACAACACAAAAAAGAAACTAAAAAAAAAGAAGACAAGTACTAACTATTTATATATATGAAAAAGCAAAAATCCTTAAGGCATAAAATCCTAAAAGACACCACTTTTAGACATGGTTTAATTGACATTTGCTAAGTGTCCCATTAAGATCAAAGGATAAATAAGAATAAGAAGAGTTTAACGAAGCCCAAAATGTTTTGTTTCTCGTAAAATTTCACACATAAGGATTATTAGACTTCTTATATAAGAAAGCAATCATTACCGATTGTAAGAATTTAATGAATACTCTCGATCACCAACTCGTTGTCCAATACAAAAGAGATAAATAAGCGAGTTAACAAACACCTTAAATTTTGTCAAGGATTACCTAGGGACACAATCATAAAATGAAGACAATTTTGCCAAAAGGATCATTAGAGAAAATGATCATCAAAAACAAAAATTTCACCAAAGATTGCCTAAGGTAGTAGTCGTTAAACAACAACATTTACGTAGAATATTATCCGAGAAAATAGTTGACAAACGATAAGAATCTTGCCAAAAAAGCACCTACATAAAAATTGAGCTTTCGATAAGACTTACTCACTTAAAAACTTAGGGGGACTACTGTTATGCTTGGAAAAATACAACTTGACAAGTGTCCCCTCTTAAGCCGAGACAAGGAGCCACCCACTATAAGTATGCCTACACAAAATCTCACACGAAAAGAACTCACGTGAATGGGAATACCTCCGTATCTACCTCATTGTCCACCTCGGAGCTTGGCTAACTCCTCCATTAATAGAAGTATAAAAGACAAGCATTAAATGAAAGACATCACACTATATATTAAATTAAAAGAATGATGCTACTTATGCCAATAAGAAACATTCACTTAAGAGGGTATCCAATTTATAGATACATATGTCGAAGTTATTATACAATAAAAAGAGAACTCATCTACCTTTAAAGGAAAGATGAATACGCCATTCATTATGTGCTAGTTGATCCTCCTCACATCTATTATAAAAGATTAATCATACACACATAAAAGAGTTAACTAGAGGTTTTGCCTTCTACATACTCCATAAAGTATTGTATATCTTCTATATAGAAAATAACTTACTCGCTAAGCCTAATCAAATCATATAAATTGAAATATATACTATTAAGTCTAATCGGACTATATCTTTGTATGTTAACTTTAGCCATCGGAGGATTCTCCAAAACCCAAGAGGACTTTGCTTTGTAAATACTCGCTATATGATGCCAAGTACAAGATCTAATATCTATTACATGACCATCCTAGGAAGAAGCACATCCAACCATTCATATAAATCGAGAAATCATCACCTCATCGGTTTTATGGGATATTTTAACAATATGTATCTATGCGGGACTTTGGGAGGAAGAGAGTGAAAGAAAATGATGGATAATATTGATAATTAGTTAGATCGATCCCGAATATCAAGTATCGGGAGTTAATATTAGAACTTTTTAGATACTTCAAGGTTGAAATTTGACAATTGAAATAATAACCATCCAAATAGAATGTCTCATTCTCCTTGGTTTAAGCTTTTCCTAGTCATGCTCTTGTACTTCTTTCTCCTTGGCTGCCTTTTAGAGCCTAGGTGCTTATTGCATTTCTTTGAGAGTAAATTATAAATTTGTTCTTTTAGTTTTGAGAGAGAAACTAATTAATTAGTTATGTTTTTTAAAAAATTAATTATTTAATTCTTTGATAAATGTTGATTACACTTAATTTAATATTATTTTATTTAACAAAATGTCATATTTTTTCATCAATCTTTTCATATTTTTTTTTTCTATTTCTTAAAAAAATGAAAATAAATTGAAAAATAATGAAAATTTTTAAATTACAAATAGATTTAAAAACATGGGGACTAAATAATTAGCTTTTAAAACAAAAGGAATAATTATTTCATTTCTCAAAACTAAAGAGACTTTGTAATTTACTAATTTCCTTGAGCTTTCATAATAATAATAATAATGAATCGATTGTTTCTTTACCAAAAAATGTTAATGTAGCCAGTCCTAGCAAGACGTTAATTGAAGCATTGATAGGCACAATTGTTAATTTATTGTTTTCTTTTCTGAAGAAGCTCTTCAAGTTCAAAACGAACGGAATGAAACAAATTTTTAAAACAAATTCAGTGATCTTTAACCATTTATTTTGCCTCAAGGGTGTGATTGGTGAACAATGGAACTGGATTTGACGAAAAGGTTATCTAACGAGGGGGATGGTACAAATATCTGGATATTGGACGAGACAAAAAATGATTTTATCGTAATCCCATATGCATACCATTTCTAAAGACTAAAGTATCAAATGTTACTGAGCGTTGGATTATCAATCGAATTTAAACCCAAATATTTATAGCTGCTCTTATGTTGGAGGTCCATAGGAGAGTCATAAGCAGATTGCGTGCTTTTGAACTAGTAGTCGCAGGTTGTTCATTCCTACTTTGTTGAAAGCTAGAACATTTTAGGGAAATGGACTAAAACAATTTACAAACCTGTGTGGCGCAGCTGTTGTTTCTAGCATGCAACTCTATTTTGTGTTTTGCTAAAACCACTCTTTTTATTATTGATTGAAGAGTTGCAATGGGACAGAAGCAATCCTAGCCCAAAGTTAGCTAAGAAAATCTAAATCCCATTCTGCTTTGTCTCTGTTTCCATCACAAAACATGCTTCCCATCAGTTGAACCAAAATAATTGGCTCAACGGCGTGCATCTGGGACAAGAATACAACTAACAAGGTCAATAGTTAAACCACCCTGCTCCCCTGAACTGCGATTTCAGTAGCATCTCCAATTAGCTACTCACCTGTAGTTATCATTTCCATCAAATATCTAAAATTACAACTGTTTCGGTGCCTTCTAGGGGGTCAATCAAAAACTATACTTCAAATATGGATGCCCGTTTAACATTAAGAAACTTACAAATCAATATTTCGTCGATACCAATCAAGTCAAGGAAAAACAATTACAATACAATTCTCAAGACTTCCAGGAAAGAATACGAAAACATAATGTCATCTTGCACTATAATGTGGCGGCAATACTTCTCCAATCAATCAACTTAAACGGCATCTCGGCAAAGCAGCAATCCATCACAAGTCACAAACAGGCAGCATCAAGCTAGACAATCCAATTAATCAAACCGAGCCGTGCTTCAAGCTATGGAGATCCAATCAGGCTTTTAACCAAAACCAGACCTGCAAAGGATTCCCAGCTACACAAAATAGTTATAGTAATGCCTACAACCTTAGGATTCACAAATAAATAACTGACTTTATATTGCTCTCTATTCCACTGCGAACACCCATGTAAATATTTGCTTTGACCAAGAATCAAAAATGATTTGGCATGGCTATGTATATGATTATATATTCCACAGAACCCTAGACATTGAAATGAGCCTCAACCTCGACATCCAACTTTCCACATAATACTCAAACATGCCAGCAATTAAATCTCAGATGTTCAAATTTGAAAGGTACAATTCAGCCAACAGAAGGGTTGGACCTCATCCATCAGCTCTGCTTATATTCCCCTTGATCCACGCTGATTTACAGCCTGCCATCGACTCCGACTTGAGTAACGAGGTTCTGATTGGGAACCATTCTCTGCAAATTTCCTTCCTTCCATATTACCCTGTCTACCAAATGGCCGCCTTTTCACATGAGGCTCAGATTTAGGAGAATTTAACCTCTTTGTTTTATCCAGTTCATATGACAATGGCTGAATTCCCTGCAAATCAGGTTCTGGGACAAAACCTACTGGTCGTTTTGCTTCATCCATTTTTCTAAATGTGATTGATATCCTATGACAAATGCAAGGTGGGAAAATAAGCAAATAAAATATAGATCAAATAAACAATAAGAACAAATCAAGAAGATTCAAAAGTTTTTGCATCAAATAAGCAATATAAGATCTCAAAAAAAATTCAATCGCTACCTCCTTGTAGGAACTGAAGGCACACAATGCTTAGCCACATCGGCTCCATTTCCATTTAAGACAAGAACAGATCTGAAAACAAAAATGACCAAGATTTAGGTTCCATGACAAAAAAGGTGGAGTATAAGAAAATATCAGGACAATAATTACAAGATCATGCACAAGATATTACGAGGGTCAAAAAACAAAAAGAAAGGAACAAAATTGATATGCATGTAAGGAATTCATGCAAAAGGATTGCACATTAGACTCACCCCACAGGAAGAGGGATTGCAATTGGACCATCAAAGTCACCGGCACCAACAGCTTTTAAGTTTGTTCCAAATAGTATATTGCACTCGCTAAGAAAAGACACAGTACAGAAAGGTCGAACAAAATCATGGCTGTCAATGTGAGGAGGTATACAGTCTCCTTCTTCATAAATGTTAACAATACAACTGTCAGGCACACAAGTTGGAGGGATAACATGCCATCTGACCAGCCTTCTGATGATCACTTTAAAAAGGTCAGGTATAGGATCTACCATTTCATCCTGGAGGATACCTGGTGGATTACCATTTTTATCCTGCCACCATAATGTTAAAGTTATAACATTTGTTTTAACATTAAAATTTTCGAATTGCCGTAAACAAGAATGTTGATGATATGTAGAAAGGGGACAAGAACTTACTGTTGCATAGTTGTAACAACAACCAAACTGGAGAGTCACACGTCCTTTGCCCCTCATCCACCTTTGTGGAGCTGAATATGTGTGTTCTGCAAAATAAGTGCAGAAATTCCCACCCAATTATGAACAATGATACATCGGATAGCTGAACATTTTCCAGGAACTGTTTTACAGAGTTCAACTCACAAGTTGATGTAAAGAGAAACTCTTAGATATAAACTCATACCCCTAGTAATGAAAGCACATCTAACAGATCAGTAGACTAAATGTGAAAAACAGCTAAAACACTACTCACAATTCAAGAATCTATTTTAGACTAGCTCAGATTCATAGAATTGGAAGTGGAATATAAAATTCCAAAAGAATTACCAATCAACACTGAAGGTGGTAGTTGACAGAGCCAGCAAATCCCGATGAGTACACGGTTGAAAATACAAAACCATGTCAATGACAATGTTCAGCCAACCGGGGGAAGATAATACAGAATGGTATAATAGGTAATACAGACGTCCTCATTCATAACTTCAATGGTTTATTCTTTAAGGAAAAGGACAATCAATTGTTTTAGGGATCAGCAAGCATAAAATAAACGACAAAATCTTAAATTCATTGGCATAGGGAGCTACAAAGCACAAAAGGCAAGCACTGAGAACATGGAACCATAAATGGGAAAAAACCAGAGAAAAAGATGCGGAGAGAGGATGTTCAACATTTCCACTTGAGAACAAATAACCACAACCAGGAGTTTATTTTAGCATTCTTGCTTATGTTAATGAAAGAGTGAGATATTGCATATCAAGAGTTTTAATTATTATTATTATCATTATTTTATTACACTAGATGCTTTAGGCAGTCAAAATCTATTAGTCAATTGTCATCAGGGAACATGTAGAATGTTAAGATTAGTCCTAGTGTGCTATAGTGATCTTTTAAGGAGATGAAAAACATGAGAAACATTAGTTTCATCTTTGCTTTTACGAATGCAAACTGACAAGAATGGCATAAATAGGAGAGTGCGTGTATTCTAGGAACTGCAGCTATTCTAACACAAAAAACCAGTACCCAGCGCATTTGAGAACAAAATGTAATCTAGCACAGAGAAAAGGATTCTGATTGGCCTATGTATTCCTTATAAGTAGAAAGCTTATTAACAGAACAAATAGAATAACATGGGAAAGATAAAGCTTTATGAAACCAACCTTTCAACTCTCCCTTTTTCCCTTTCTCTTGAAATGCATACACACAATCAACAATTCTCTTCTGCTCCACAGCACTGAAAATACCTGTGTGAAGTTCCAGACCCTGGAGAATATTAGTAAGCTTCCCATTAAGCTTCTCAAAACACATATACTCCTTTGTCCTCTTCACATTCATAAACCGAATGTGTTCCCTTCGCTCCCTCGGTAACGTTGTAGCCTTCTCAACAACCTTTGTTATTCTCAACCCACCTGTTGAATCATTCACATTAACCACCCGTGTATTCAACTCCTCTTGTTCTTGTTCCTCTTCTTCCGCAAGTTCATCTTCCTGTGCCATATCTGCCCAAGACATCCCCGAGGGCCACTCACTATGAAATCCACTACTGGAAGCCTCTGAAACAGGTGGTTCAGAACACCCATTTGTCCCATCTTTCCAACTACCTGACAAATTCGTCTCATCTTCCTCTTTCAAACTTCCCACAGAAGTATTATCATAATTACCATCAGAACAACAATTCTCGTTCGACAATTCCACGTTATTATTCAACCTTGGAGGATCCCCACTCTTATCTTCACCTTTGAGTTCTACAATAATTGCCAAACGTGCCAAAAACCGAAGGCTCCAAATCAGTTAACATTGACAATTCAAACAACAACCGTAAATTTCAACAGAAAGAGCAATATTTTCACAATTAACAGAAAGAAAAATAAATCCTACTCTTCAAAAAACACTATGAGTTAAAAAAAAACCCTAACTTTAAAAAAATCAACACTACAAACTAAAAAAAGAAAAAAACTAATTTTTCTCACATATAATTAAACTAATTAACTAACAGTATATTTATTGCTTTAAATAAAATGGTATTATGGTAATAAACAGCAGCCAAAAAGATTTAACTCGGGAAGAAAAAAGTTGTTATAACCTGACAGAGAGCGAATGCGATCGGAGAGAGTTTTGGTGCAGTTGCTGCAGAGATCCCTAGAGAGGAAAGGGAACCACGTGGAAAGAAACTCCGATGCGACTTTAAGATCGGACGGTTGATATTGAACAAGGAAGGGGTCATCGTTATCGGCCTTATTGAGTTCGGTCATGGCTGACTGAGTTGGTGACTCGGATCGGAAAAAGGAAAACACAGAGTGAAAGCGTGAGAGAAAAGTATATGACTTGAAACCCAAGGATTGTGTGGGTGGCAATAAAAGAGCGGCGTCGGTTGGGTAGGACTAGCTGGAAATTGGTTGTTTATTAGGGGTAGTTTTGGAAGTTGAGATTGCGTTGGGTGCAAGTTCGAATCTGAGAAGGACGATTATAATTTTGATTCGGTTTTCTTTTTAATGGCCTGATGGGATGCTTTAAAAAAGATGAACTTTTATTTTTTTGGTCCCTCTACTCTAAATATTTTTTTAATATAGCTCATTCGATGGGATTCTGATAATTTTTATTTTTTTTTGGTAATAAGGGATAATAGACTGCTGCTATAAATAATTGTGAAACGTGTAAAGAAAAAAATTTCAAAAAAAATTTCCCATTTTTTTAGTTTTATTTTTTTATAATTTTTTTATTTAAAGTTTTTTTTTACACATGTTACAATATGACATGGAAGTCCACCTATTATTTGTTATTGAAAATTTGACCAAATCAGAAGGGACATATTAAAAATATATCTAGAATAAAAGGACTATTAAATCATATTAGGGAAAAAAAAGTCAAGAATACAGAATCGAATTATGTGATTAATCTCATTTTGTATGATGTGAGGCTATGCCTTGGCTTGATATATTGTTGTGCAGTGTGTACTAGGTTTTTTGGCTTGCACTATGCTGAATAGAATACAAAAAATTATTTTAGTTTAATATTTTATGTTATGTTGTGAGTTTATAAAAATATATAAAATTAAAAATAAAAATAAATTTAATTTTATAATATTTTAATCTAATTTTTATATTTGACTATTTCTTTTTTGTGTTTTTCATATTTTTTCTAGTTAAAAAAAGATTAATTCTTCTTTATTCATGGATTCTTAAACAAAAAGAGAATTCAATAAAAAAAAGCCCTTAGTGTTTTATACGATTGTGTAAAAAAAAATAACTTTTTTATCCATGGATTCATAAACAAAAAGAGAATTTAATATAGAATATATATATATAAAATATTTCATAAGATTGTGTCGAAAAAATAAAATAATAATTAATATAAAAACTAATATAAAAATAAACAAATATTTTTTTATTCAATATTGATGAGAATATTAGTTTTTGAAAGTTTGTACATTTGATTTTTATATATTTATTAAAAAATCAATAATATTAAAATAAAAAATATATATTTAAATCATTGAATAGTTATGTAAAAACATAATTTCATATATTTAATTTAACATAAATTAATTTAAAAAATATAAAAATAAATAAATAGAAAATTTTGGTATTATGATAGTTGCATAGTTGATTTTTATAAAAACTAATGATTCATTTTTTTATATATACATTATAAATATACTGAGTAGGTTTAAAATTTACAATGTAAAAAAAAAACATTTTAAAAAATTCACTTGCAAGTACTATATTGAATAAATTTGAAATTTATAGATTAAAATAAAAGTTATTAAAATATTAATTTTGATAAATTTTTATTATACAAATAAGAACCAAATAAAACACGGAAACTCCTCTCTTTTTTTCTTCTTAAATGGTTTTTTATTTCTAAGCCATACATGGCTAGTCCCTTTGCACCGGCCTCACACGCATAGCAATCATTTTTTTTTCTTACATTTGACTTTCAATTATTAATTAATTATTTTGAAAATTATTTAAAAAATTCGGAGAAATTATCTTAAAGACATTTTTAATAAAAAAACATATTTCAAACAAATTATTTATTATGCAACAATAATTAAAAAAAAAACTCTAAGAATCAATTATCTAAATCATATTAATTTATTTTTTTAAATAATCATGCTCTAAATTTTGTTCCAAGATCCAAACATTAGGGATCAAAGTGCAATATTTACAAAACATGGCATATGAAAGAGTTTTTTATGAGGCAATCAATAGTTGAAGGCAACATATAAAATGTCAAAAAAGTGCTAAAATTAATGAAAATGCTCTAAAAAAATTCTCAAATTCACAAAAATGTCATTGTTCCATCTACCGTCAATAAACACCATCAATATTGCTCACGATGTTTTTTTTAATTTTTTTAAATATTTCTCTTGATAAATCGAAATAGTTAAATCACAATGGCAACATAAACATTTAGGCAAAGATAGAAGGAAAAGGAAAGAAAAATCGAATCAATCGAAGGTTTTCCCCTCTACAAAAAGCAAGGCCTCGTTTAGATGAAATAAAGAAACTGAAGGGATGTAGATGGCAGAGCATTAAATACTTGGCCAAATATGAAAAGGAAACAAAAATATTGAAAGAAAAAGAAGGAAATGAGGGTAAATAAGTAATAGCAAAAAACCACTTAATGGCAGAAGGGAAACTTAAATGAGAAGAAATGGGTAAGAAAAATGAAAAGAAAACAACTTATTAAGAAAGAAGACAGGAAAAAAAAATTAAACAAAAAAGAATTGAGGAAAAAGAAAGTAAAATAAAGAAAGGCCATGTCAACAGTCAATCCACAAATAACTTGGGTCTGTGTGAACAGAGCCGAAGGTTTGGGTTTTAGTTTCTTTGTAATAACATGAATTTCAGGATGATTATGTATTTGAATTAGGTTAGGAATTATGTTTATCAATTAATTAAAATTTGATAAATTTTCTATATACTAGTTACACAAGATATTTAGAATTTGACCAAGTTATTAGAAAAAATGAGACTAAAAATAAAAAATCATTAATTTATAGCTACTATGCAAATTAATTTCATCACGATTGTGGGTTTTATCTCATTTGTTTTTATGAGATTTATCTTTGCAATTTTTAATTAATTATTTCCGTACTCAATTACTTTTCAAAGATATGCTATTTTGGCCTACACATAGAATGTAAAAGATAATAAATAAGATATATTCATTTTAATTTTATCTTTTTTCTAAATTTATTGATACACTTATAGAATAACTTTATAAAATCTCTTGGCTTAATCTATACATGCATTCCATTCTTTATCAAGTGTTATATTTTTAATATATTATTGTAAAACAAAGGTAGGATTTCTAGGGAAAAAAACACAATTTTGAGAACGGCTAATTACAAAATCAATACTATTTATTATTATTATTACATTTATTTTATTTTTTGAGTGCCACTAATTTGGATCTCTTGCAAACCTAACTCTGAATGCAATATTGGACTCTAGGTCTAGATTCATTATTTTCAAGTGGCATGACATGTTGATATTGGCAAAGTCCGTAACCATATTATTTGCATTTTCTATCTTGAATTTGTAAAGTTTATTTTTATGGTGTTGGCATGTGAACTTAGACCTAAGGTCTAATTTTTTTTGTTATTTTATTTTTACATTTGTTTGGACTTGGGATTGCTTAATTTACAAATGGACCTTAAGCTCTAATTTCCAACCTTTTAATTGATCTCCAATAGCATCTCAATAAGCTGTTTAGATGAAGTATTGTATGTGTTTTAATTCAGTCTTCAAATCACTTTATCTAGAACTAATTAAAAAAATTTAATAACGAAACTCATAAATCATGATAGACAAGTGTATATATAATTAGGCTTTGTATAAAAAAATTCATAAATAAGAATCAAATAATAACTTCATTATAACGTCATATTAAGATCATCATAGTCTTTTTTAGTTTTGTAATCAATCTCTTTAAACGAAAACTACGAAGACTAATTTGTTTGAGTTTTATTAGCCTTCACATTTTAAAACATTGAGTCGTAACTCTAATTTCGAATTATGTATTAAGTAACATAAACTATTGGAATTTGTTGCATGTATAGTTTTTTTAAAAAAAAAAATGGAGAAAGTTCTCGTTCAAAAAAAGGACTCCACAATAAACAGCTATGCTTCTGGTTAAAAGCAGGGGCAATCTTACTTTATTTCAAAAGCAAATAAGTTTTTTTTAAAGCGACACGTGTTTTGATTTTAAAGAAAAACATGAATTAACCAAAACACCACCTTTAAACCAAAAACATATAAAAACAGTTGTACTTTAAAAGTATTATTACCAAACATACACCACATCTTTTTCTCTTAAAGCTTTCAAAACGGGTTGTTTTTTTGGTTCTTAATTACATTCTGTTTGCCTTTCATATTTGTTAAATGCATCATGCTCTTGATTCTCTCTCTTAATTGGGATCCCTTGTTCGATGGGCTAATGACAAATTTTGCTCTTGCACTTTTGATTTGTCATAGATTTTGTTCATGCATAATTTTTTTTATTTTATGAAATTTACTGTTGTATTATAAATTTTGTTAAGATTCTTATCTTTTTGTTCAATTTTGTTACATTGGAGACCACGTGTGAAAGATCCATACATCAAATATGAGAAAACTACACAAAATAATAATAATAATAATAAAAAGTTAATACTTTACCCACTAATTTTATTGTAGTTTCTAATTTTAAATAAATTTTTTTTCATTGAGAGGAATTCACGATTTTTTTTTTTTTAAGAAATAGAATAAAAATATTATACAGAGGAAAAATTCCTAAAAAAAAAAATTACAGTGACAAAATGCCCATTAAATTATCGACCCTTTTTTTGGTGGGAGCTAAACACTTTTTGGTACGAAACTCTTGAAAAAAAAAAAAAGCACAAAAAAAATCTCACAAAAAAGAGAAATTACACCTTTTTGCCAGCCAACCAACAGCCACGAAACCTACTCACAGCCTTGATCTCTTCCTTGCTAGTGATAACTTCTAACACCATCTAGGTTTGCTTCTTCTTCTTCTTCCTCCCTTTCCTTTCTTTTTTCAGTTTAACAATAGGTATTAATTTTAATGCTTATCTCGTTATTTTCTACTTGAAATTGTTGATTGCTTTGTATCTGTGTATATGCTTGGTTTTTTTTTTTTTTTTTTTTCTAAAATTAAGTAATTTTAGTTAATTTTATTATAAATTAATTCATATTAATTTTTTAAAATATTTTTAGTTTCTATATGAATTTAAACTACATAATAAATAATTTGAAATGAAAATGAATTTTGTTTAACATAAGATTTTGGTTCATGTAAGAATAGAAACGAGCATTCTAATATGGTTAAGCACGAGTTAGATACCCACGCTACATTATGATTAGACAATCATGTATGTAAGGTCAACGATTTGTATGATATAGTATGAGTAAAAATCTTATTTTTCATAATTAATATAAATTGATTTTAGAATATAAAAAAGAATAAATAATAAATAATTGAGATTATGTGTGCAAATACCTAATTAATTTATAACAAAACTAATGATATATATCTTTTAATTATTTTAGTCAAAAATATTAATTTTAGAATATAAAAAAGAATAAATTATAAATAATTAGTGTTATGTATGCGGATGCATAATTAATTTCTAACAAAACTAATTATATATATATATATATATATATATATATATATATATATATATATGTATGTATTTTTTCATATTTTGACTTATTTTTTTATTCTTTCTCTATTTATTAAAATAAAAAATAGAACTATTGATATGGCAAAAATGACAAAAAAAATTATTTTTTGAATCAAAAGAACTAATGGTGTTATGTATGCGGGTATATAATTAATTTCCAACAAAACTATATATATATATTGAAATAAAAACTACTACAAAATTGGTTCCCATAAATCTTACTTCTTAATTTCTTATGAAAGAGATTCTTAAATTATAAATTAAATAATAAATTAATTCATCTTGTTTTGAAAAATGAACGAATTAGTTTTTTTTATTAGTATTGACTATGAATAATATATATATTTTTATTTTTAAAAAGTCTTTTTTTCCTATGTTTTTTAGTTTTTCTCTATTTCTTAAAACAAACCATAAAAGTAATGAAACAGCAAAGAGGACAAAAAAATAGTTTTTGAACCGAAAGGGACTAATGTCATTTCGTACGCAGTTATATAATTGATTTTCAACAAAACTAAAAAAATAAATCATATTTATCAAGAAATAAAACTTCATAAAAAAATTTAATTTGATGAGAATTTTTATAATAAACGAAAAATTTAAGAGATTAATTTTAACTAATAAAAAAATATAATTCAATGTATGTGTTTGTTTTAAAATTTAAAAACATAAGAGGTAAAAAATAAAATTTTTTAAATATGAGAAATAAAAAGTGTATTTTGAAAAAAAAGTGAGGTAAAAATAGATTGAACTAAAAACATGAGATTTTAAAATATTTTTAAAAATATGAGGATGTAAAAATATATTTTGAAAACATGGAGGAAAAAAAATGGAATGTAAAATTTAAAAATAATTGAAAAATTATTAGAAAATCACGAAAATATCTTTGTAAAAAATTAAAAAACACTTTATTAAAAACCAAAAGACAGCCTTGGGCGCCGAAAGCGAAAGAAAAGAAAAGGAAAAAGAAAAAGAAAAAGTCAGCCGTTTTGCTGTTTAAATGAACAGTAACACGGTGGGGAAGCAAAAAAAGGACGGCCTTGGGTTTAAAAAAAAAAAAAAGGAGCTGGGGGAAGCTCATTGTTCATCCACTGTTCAAATGAATTTGAACAACGAAATTCTCGGATGTCTCAGATGTTTTGGTGTTTAGTAGAATTAAAAATATCAATTGTTCCTTTATCATTTCCTAGCAAATCAAAAACTCGTTGTCAATTTCTTAATTCCTAAGAGCTAAAACAGTAACAGACGACGCCTCGCGCCCCTTCCTCCACGACTCCACCATTGCCAGCCCCACAGCCCTCCTCCATGATAGTGTCACCCAGCCACCTCTCCCTCCTTCTCAGACAGCCGTCGCAAATTTCTCAATCTCTAAGAGCTAAGATAGTAACAAACGGTGCCTCACGCCTCCCTCCTCTGCGGCTCCACCACTACCAGCCCAGCAGTAGCCCTCCATCACAGCATCACTCAGCCGCCTCTCCCTTTTGAAAACCAGTTCAATCTCTTTTGTAATGGTTCTTTTGTGATTTGGGACAAGTCTTGGAGCAATGCAAACAATCTGTTTGATTTCGTTGTTGTTAGTAGCGGTTGCATTAACACAGTCTGATTTTGAAGCAATTTTGGAGGTCAAGAAGGGCTTTGCAAAAAACCCATCTGGGAAAGTTTTTGATCCATGGGACAGTAAGTCCTTAGCATCTGATGGGTGTCCTCAGCCCTGGTACTGAGTTGTCTGTGTTAATGGTCATGTGGTTTCAATTTCCAAAAAAGTTTAAAAACCGAACTAACCGAAAACCAAAACCGAAACTTCGGTTTTTTAACTGAAAAACTGAACGAATACTATTTTGGTTTGGTTTCGGTTTTTTTTTTTAAAGTTTAAAAATCGAATAACCGAATGAACAGCTTTTAGAGGATTACAGGGTGATTTCTTTTTCCTCCAAAAATCAGGGGCCAAGTTTTTTCACTAGTTTAATGATCAATTTATTGTGCATTTTTCATGCTTACTCAGACTTTGAAGGTTTGTCATGTGATTTTCAATATAATCCAATCAAGATTAGCTATTATCTGACTTTCAGTGATAATCATTTAGAATTAGTTGTCATATAATTTTCCCATAGGTAATATTTTCTTTTTTATTCGGGAATCTCTTAGTTGTCATCTGACCATTTTATATATTACTCAATTACATCAAGTTGTCATTTCTTTCTCTCCAAGAATTACAGTTGACTTTTTTTTATTATAAATTAGTAAGTTATTGTTAATTAGGCTATTTTAGAGGTACAGGAGCGTTGTTTGACCAATCTATATAATCTTAAACTCTGAAGGTTTTCCTCATACTCCTTTTCGAAGCATAAAGGTTCTTCAACATCTCTGGAGGTTCCATTTCTTGAGTCCTTAACTCTTAATTTTCTTGTCTCAATTGTAATTTTGTTTTGTTAATTCGTGATTATTGGTATTTTCTGCTTCTTCTACTTCCAACAATACATACCTGCTAAAAATATATTGTGTTGGGACAGGAATGGCTCTTTCCTTGAAACGTTATACTTGTTCACACTACAGGTCGGATGGCATTCTTAAAGAGAGGTACACGAGATCTTTTATTTTTTGTTTAGGGCTGTCATAATTTGAATTAATTTGTTAGATAACAATTATTATTATTATTATTTTTTGTAGAAGCCAAAGAGAACGAGAGATGTCGATAGTGATGGGAACCATGACGAGTGATCCTTTGCCTGAAGATGTGGTAATTGAGATTTTGTCGCGGCTGTCTGTGAAAAATCTGTTGCAGTTCAAGTGTGTCTGCAAATCATGGTATGCTATTATTACAAGTCCCAATTTTATATCCAAACATCTGAAAAATTACTATAACAACATTGAAAGTGATTGTCTCCTAGCTCAGTATTGCGTAACCCAAGCTGGTGAACTCCATTCCTATGAGGTATTGGTAGATGAAACGCCTAGGGTTTTATCGTACGAATCACTCAATAACATGCCGATTCATAGTCCATATGTTTATGGTCCTTGTGATGGAATCTTTTACATGTATGGTCATTTTTACGAGTTCCGTGCTCTGTGGAACCCTGCAGTTAATGAATTGAAAACCTTACCTCCTATACCCAATCCTCCATCCGGTTTTTCTTATAGTCCGCAATATGATGCTTATGGTTTCGGCTTACATCCAGTAAGTAAAGATTACGAGGTGGTTGTCCTGAAAGATTATTGGCCTGAAAAACAGGAAGATAGAGGAGGCAGGTATCCTTTATGCGTATTCGTGTACTCGTTAAGTACTGATTCTTGGAGATACTTGGGAGATTTGTGTCGGTATTACGATTTGCGAAACAATAAGTGCTACATTTGTGTGAATGGAGGATTTTACTGGTTGGGATCATATGAACTATGTGGAAATCCTGAAGTGATCGTTTCTTTTGACATGGCTTCAGACATGTGGCAAGAGATACAGCTACCAGATTATGACAAGTCATATAATTGTGAGAGCCTTGCAGTGTACCATGACTCCATTGCTTTACTGGTTGTCCAAGACAAGTTTCTTGATCTGTGGACATTGAATGAGAGGTGTTGGACTAAACAATTTGCTATTGGGCCTCTCTCAGAAGTTTGCTATCCGGTCGGGCATTGTCAGAACAGTAAGCTTATTCTAGCATCCAGTTACCCTTATGAGCTAATGTTATGTGATCCTAGTATCCAAGAAATACGTAATCTTGGATTTAAGGGAGGTCATCGGTGCGAAGGAATTTTTGTTTACAAGGAGAGCCTGGTTCTAGTGAATAATGGAAATGGTTGCCGGCAACATGATCAGGAAGCTGAGACAGAATCTAATTGTCAAATCAGTCGTTCTTCTTTGTATCAGAACTCAAGCGACGAGGAGTATTACGATGGAATAAGCAATTTATTCGATTAATGTTATGTTTATTGTAATTTGTAGGACCATCTTCGTCTTCCTCATCATCTAAAGATTTCATCTCTCAATCCTTATCAGTGTGACCAAGACAGCCACAAAAGCAACAACAATTCGTACAACAAGAATCACTTTTAGAAGCTGAAAGAAATGCATTTTTCCGCCACTAAAAGTCAATGAATGTAAAATAAATTTTGTCGCAAAACCGATTCTTAAAGTGGCTGGTCAAATAGTTGACTTTGGAATTATAAATCTATTAGAAGCAGAAGATATTGTTGACTTTGTAGTTTATTAGATACAATTTAAAAGTTTTATATGCAAAAAAATTCCACCTCTAATTTAAATAGAAAATGTAAATATTTAATTTTAACTTATTATAATATATGTGAGTGATCATTAGATTTTTTTTTTGGCAGTACCATTTGCAATGATTCTGTATCAATTGAATAATTGAAATAATAAAAATAAGAAATCTTTTGAAGATTCATTCATTAAATTTAATTGAACAAAATTGAATACTCTAAATAAAATATAGCAATTTTCTAACGATTGAAGGAAACAAAAATTTCAACAAGCATCTTAAAAGCACAGAGAAAGAATCATCAGGATGTCTCTAAAGTTACGTAAAACTTGCACTATCAATAAAAAACAATAACCATGGTTTTTCAGCTTCCTTCACATTCAAATCTATTTCACTAAAAAAAAAATCTACATGAGTTAATTAAAATATTGAAAAAGAAATCCAGCGGTTGACCAAAAGACTAAAAGTATTCTGTCCTGGTTTAGCCTAAAAAATGATGTGTCTAATCTCGATTGATACAAAATTTGATCCGAAAATATCCATTATCTATAAATATTTATAGATACATATTTTATGTATGATGATTATAAAGCACTTGCGTAGAGAAACAATCTAATAATTGAAACAAATGATCTATTGTTTTGATATATACATATTTCATAATCTATTATCTCGATTGATTGAGTTTTGTGTTGATAACGTATTGTAAAATTAATGATAACAATAAAAAAAATAATAACAGAAAAGAATTAAAGAAAAAAGTTGATAAAAAAAATGAATTATGTTTTTTTTATTCAACACACCTATTTATAGGTGAATGTTACACAAAATTATAAATTAGAGATTTAATAAAGAATAAATACATGCATGTATGATAATAGAAAATTGAATAAAAAAATATAAAAATAGTACATTCACATATATAAACATTTATTTATTATATAAATGATATATTGACATTTATTCATTATGTCATACACAACTTTAGAATTAATTATAAAAGAATACCTACTAAATAAAATTGATGCTTCCTTTTCATCTACTTTTTATTGAAAATAATTAGTAAAATCATCGATTTTTCACGTGCCGCACGTGTATTTCATTAAATCGTAAGTCATAATGTGGGAGTAAAAAAATCCCCAAAACCATCCACTTTTGCCCATTATTTTATTAACCAAGTTAATTGGACTACGCTCCGCCCACTCCCGAGCATCATCAGGATATATCTCCGTTTCTTTTCTTTCCTCCAAAAATTGAACCAACCAGGTATTTGCTTTAATTTGAGTTTCTTTTTGAATTGTCTATTAGATTTTGCAAGTTGATAGATACGGTTTTCTTCATAAAACGGTGCAGATGAATTATACGGGTTTGGTCAGAACTTAATTCATAGAAATGGATCCTTGCCGTTTGTTTTTATTATTATTGCAGACAATTATTTCCTTGTAGAATGTTTGATTTATTTATTTATTTTTTTCAACTGAGGAATCTTTTTCAGTTGTCTGCTGACTTCTAAGACTGCTAAGTTAAGATTAATTGTTGTCATGTGACTTTTTATTTTCATGAATTAGAATTAGTTGTGATTACTTATTTTCCTCCAATTAAGAACTTGAATTCTGAGTTTTGTTAGTATAAATTATAAGCTATTCGCTCAGTTTACACCAATCGGTGTTGTTTATATCAGCAATCAATTTAGACAATTTGAAGGTTTTTCTATAAATCTTAATTTTCATCTTCGAACTTTCATTTTATTCTAATTGAAACCTATTGTTTTGCTTCTTCTTCTTCTTCTTTTTTTTTTTTTTTCACTTTGCTTGTGTTATTTTCTGCTTCTTACGATACAATATGACATGATTATGCTGGTTACTTTGCTTGTGTTGTTTTCTGCTTCTTACTTTGCTCAGTTTGCATGTGTTGGATCTGCTTCTTACTCTGCATAACACGATTATGTTGTTTACTTTGCTTGCTTGTGTTGTTTTCTGCTTCTTGCTGTACATAACATGATTATGTTGGTAGCAGAAATGGCACTTTCCTTGCACCCTTATACTTGGTTGGATTTCACGGAGGGTTTAAATCGCATTTTAGAAGAAAGGTGAGATTGTTTATTTAGGCGATGAGGAGATTATAAGTTGTGTTAAAAAAATACAGGTACATGGGGTTAACTTTCTGTTTCTTTTTAATTTTGTAGAAGTGAAAAAGAACGAGAGATGTCAATAGCCATGGCAACTGTAATTGGAGATTCTTTTTCTGAAGATGTGATGGTGGAAATTTTATCATGGCTGCCTGTGAAAACTCTACTGCAATTCAAGTGCGTTTGCAAATCGTGGTATGGTATTATTACAAGTCCTAAATTCATTTCCAAGCATCTAGAGAATTACTACAACAACAGTGACGTTAATTGTCTCCTTGCTCAGTATTACGTTAGCCATGCTGAACTTCAAGTGTATGAGTTGTTGGTGGATGAAACACCTAGAGTTTCATCATATGAAATTTTATATGGTATGCCAATTTATGGGTCGTATGTTTGTGGTCCTTGTGATGGACTGTACTATCTATTCTACTACGAGACCAGTGATCGTGCTCTATGGAACCCTGCAATCAATGAATTGAAAGCTCTACCTCCTATAATAACCAAGCATAATCTTCCATCAAATTTTGTTTATTCTCCATTTGATATTTTTGGTTTTGGTTTAGATCCAGTAACTAAAGATTACAAGGTGGTGGTTATCAAAAGTTATTGGGAAAAAACAGGTGAAGAAAGTGGCACCAGGCATCCTGTATCAGTGCTTGTATACTCTTTAAGGACTGATTCTTGGAGATATTGGGGAGATCTTGCACATGATTTTTTCTTGGATAATAATAAATGTTACACTTGTGTCAATGGAGTTTTCTACTGGTTGGGATTATATGAACAGTATGGAGAATCTGAAGTGATCATTTCTTTTGACATGGCTGCGGATGCATGTCAAGAGATACAAGTACCGGATTATGAAAAGCCAGCTTCTAAGAGTCTTGCATTATTCCAGGACTCCATTGCTTTGTTTAGTGTTCATGAGGTCAAGCAGGTGTTCGATATATGGACTCTGAATGATGGGTGTTGGACCAGAAAATTCACTATTGGGCCAATTGAAGAACTTCTGCAAGTGGTTGGGCGTTGGAAGGATGAGCTTATTTTAGAATCAACCTCTCGTGAACTAATGTTGTGTGACCCTATCACCCACGAAGTAAGGAATCTTGGATTTGAAAGGCATACTACCTGCAAAGGAGTTTATGCTTACAAGGAGAGCCTGGTTTCATTCAATGATAGAAAAGCTTGTGGGCAACCTGAGGAAGCTGAAATGGAGTTTAACCAAGTTTAAACTCATGCATCTCTCGATCAAAATGCTTGAAGACTCTTTAAGTGTTTCTACCAGGTGAATCATTCTGTATACCAGTTGTTATGCTTTAACCGGAGGAAGGACTTGCGACAAGGAGTGAGGAGCTGAAGGAAGTGTCGGTATGAAATAATTTTCTGATAATTGGAATTTAGAAATTTTAGTTGGATATCTCAAGTTTTTTGGACTTTTTCTTGTATTTAAATTCCATCTTGTTGAAATAAAATCTCAATTTATTAATGTTTTGTTTCCTATTATATCATTACTGTCCTCTTTTATCTAAAGCGAGTGATGATGATTGATGAAGGATGGGCTCTAGATTTTGCAAAAGCAGTGGATACAGGCTGCTAATTCCAAGCTAAGGGAAGGAGAAACTTACTAGTTCAATTTGAGAGTTGTTGCCTACAGGGAATCTCATTTGTGATTGATGAGGATTCGGGTGTTTTGGGTTGGTGAACTAATTGTGCGACCGGGCATATGCACTCTATCGGTGTTGGAGCATGCAGGGACTTTTGGCTAAATATTTTTTTGTGAGATTAACAACACAAATTGATGAAACTGAGATTTGAGCTGATAGTTCTAACTTTTTTTTTGTTTTGCAAAATTGGAATTAGATCCTATCCCAAGACACCAACCATTGCTTCTGGATTTCTTATCAGAGCTCTAATGGATAAACCAATGGCTAGTTTCCTTATCAGAATAATGATCTTTACTAATACAAAATAAAAGGGCATCTATCCCAGCACATTGGAGCTTGACAGAGAGAAATATTTCTAACCCAAAAAACCATCAATGAGGAAAGCACCACCTTCATTTACTGCTGTTTTGATGTTTTCTTTTGCTTTTCTGCAGATTTTGCAGTGTCTGCTTTCTGTTTTATTTCCAATTTGATTATTTTGCTTTCTTGGTGTTTATTATAAAGTTCAGCTTATCAAAAGAAAATGACGCTTGCCCACATAAAAAAAAAAAAAAAAAAAAAAAGGAGACTAAAGACAGAGAAGTCAAAAAGGGGCATTTCACGATACAGGGTACTTTGATGAAATGGCATTAAATGATAAGCCATCCCATAAAAAGAGATATGGATGCCTGACACCAAACTCACACCAGCCACAGATATAAGGGATAAGGGTTGAAGAGCTTGATAGTTGCTGCAGGAAACTTAGCAATGGAGGTCAATATCCTTCAATTCCTTCCTTCACAACCACCTCCATTAACCATCCCTACCCACTCAAACCGTTCAACACTAGCACCACCACCAACTACAGCAAGAACAGAGACTCATTTTTTCTTACTTCGCCGGAGACGATCTTTGAGGCTCAATGCAACCAACAGCAGCACCAGCAGTGACGAGAAGACACCACCAGTTCAACCACCAACCGTTACACCACCAGATACGGTGGAAATCAGATTTAAAAGAGGGTCAAGGAGGCGAACCAGGCAACAAAAAGAGGGCGATGGTGTTGGAGTTTCGCAATCTGTAAAGGTAAAAGCTTCTGCTCCAAAGAAGTGGGAAGATATGAGCCTTTCCGAGAAGGCTGTTGAACTGTACGTGGGAGAGAAGGGTATGCTGTTTTGGCTCAACAAATTCGCTTATGCTTCCATTTTCATCGTGATCGGAGGTTGGATACTTTTCCGGTTTGTCGGGCCTGCTCTCAATCTTTACCAGTTGGACACCGCTCCACTGTCCCCTTCCTCCATATTAAAGGGTTCATAATCAAGAGGGACTGCTTTTTTTGCTCTGGTTTCTTGAGATTTTGTTGCTATGAATAGACTATGTAATCAGTAATGACAATACAGTGTTAAAGCATAAATCTACTACATCCAGTTTCAACAACTTTGCTTATGCTTCGTTTTAAAGTTTCAAAAGACTGTCCATCTTGAAGAAATGAGCAAATAGAAGGTAGGAGTAATCACTAATCAATTGCTTCAAAATAATAGCGGTGGACAAGGAAAGTTTGAATCCACAAGAACAAATGCTCAAACCAACAAATGAATGCTTTATTACTTCCAGTTGAGAAAAGAAAACGAGCTTTCAATATGGAATGGAACTCTCTATCACGCACGCACACACAAACGCTGCTATCAAAGGAAAACAATCAAGCTTTGAACACATTCTTTGTCCTTCAAATATCACCACCGCTAATTTCTACAGTGTCTAATGTATGCCTATACGAATCCCATTTTTCTATGACCAGATGTTGCACAAAACTGAAACAGAACCTCGAACGAAGGGCATTACAAGCTACAACAATCTAAAACCTCCACAAATTCGCAGCTATACAACATTGACTGGCTGAGGAACTGGCTGAGGAACCACATCTCTTAGCGTCTTGCACCTGCAAAAAGCTTTCCAGATTCAGCCTAACATAATGATACAGATATTAGGGGACCAGTATGACTACCAGAGGGTCCTTTAGTAAAAATTTTAAACACCAGTACTTCCAAAAACAAATAGGCAAAATATTGCACAGGGAGAAAAAGCTTCCAGCAAATTGAAGGAATTATTGTGAAAGCAAGCATTCAAATTTCATGAAACATGCTGTCACAATCAGCAAGCAAACGAGTGACAATGCAGCCACTCGATGAATAAGATGAATTGCATGAACAGATGGTCAGTCAATGGAGATGGGGGTTGATGGTGGACTGGATAATGAAAATACCAAAATTCCAGTCTCCCACAACGCAGAAAATGCAAAACTGCAACGTGAGTTGGGAAAACAAGATTAGGGTGAGGCAATTTAACAGCCCCAGGACCTTATAAATACATGTAAACTTGCAAAAGTTCAATGAGAAAACATTTAAACTTGGATGCAACGCAATTCCTTATTCACCTGAGACGGCATGATAAATTAAAATCAAAGTTTTAAGGTTTTATTCAGAACCGAGATTATTTCATGAAACTATGAAAGAAAAATGCCACAACTGCTCTTTGTTATTACCAAGAAGTCTCTGCTTAGCCTTGCAAACAGTATCAAAACCAAGGGAAAAAAAAAAAAAAAGAGGACAACAAACAGGCATTGCACACAGAACTACGAACTGAGTGAGTTCTGCCCAAAAGGCCACCACGATACATAAGCAAAACAAAGGGTTCCAAGGTATCTCCCTGACCAAGTGAGCAACTACTCGATTCATTATAACCATATTTCACTCTCATCTTTAACAACAGAAAATGGTTCCATACGATATTGAGATGCAAATTTTTAAGTAGGTGATGAAATATAATATCATTACAATATCCATTAGATGATTTCTGCAGGAAGCAATTTCAATATTCAGTTTACAAATTAACAATGTAGAACTAAGAAATACTTTAGTTGCTAACCTGTTGCACAGTGCACGAGATGCATAGTTATGATTGTTGCAATTTGTGCACATCCAATCTCCACTTCGCCATTGCTTGGCTCTGCTATACAAAGAAGGAGAAAGTATTAGAATGTTGAGGAAAGCATTTCTCAATCTCATGGTACAATATGGTGTATGCTGAATTTGCAAATTTAAATACCACATTCAGTCTTCATGATATTCCAAGTGATTCATCATTTTGTGGCACACTTCCTTCAAATTCTTACCTTTAGTACTGAATTGACTCAATAGAGTCATTAGCATAACAAATTTTGTTGATTACTTTTCTATTTAATTTCATTTATACAGATCCAGTGTGCATGTTACAGAATCAAGACCATGGAGGTGATATCTAGACAGTTTCTAAATTCAGTATTTCATGCACAGCATGGTCACACACTCGAGAATCAACTCACACTTCAGCACTTAGCATCAAAAAAGTTCTATCATTGCACCAAAGGATGGCTCTTTTCCAGTTTATATATTCTCTCATTATTGTGTTGTCAGCTAATTGGATATGTGTAGAAGGATCAACTCGATCAGCATTTACCCTTTTCCAAGGAGTGCAGGCATTGTTGATTGATGTGGAATTTGCACTGGTGCTTGCCAATTTGGAGCTAATTCTGTACTATAACTGGGATAGTGAGCATAAACTCCTGAACTTGGGTCACCATTGTTCCCTGCCATTTGATTGAAGCCTGGATATGACTGCAGTTGCCCATCCGTCTGCAAGGAGTGATTGAAATTGTGAATTTCATATTCCATCAACCTAACAGAAAGAATAAGGGATAACTGGTGGAACAATGGTTTGGAGCGATAAAATAACCAAAAGAAAGTGCACCCAGAAAATAATTCCATACATTTCCAGAATTTAATCTTTTGTTCTCCCAATCCTGAACAAATTCTTCAGATGCCAGTCGCTTTGTTCCAACTGTGTTATGCCAGAAAAGAGGAATAAAAAGAGAGGACAGATAAATTGGAACAAGACAATACATTCATCACATGTCTGCTTTCCTTCCAATCTAATGGACAAACAACAAGAAGCATAATAGCTATGAGATTAAAAAGAAAGACAATTTTGAAGTATACCTGGTGGCAAAGAAGCATTGCACTTTTTGCACTGCAAATGCAAAAAAAATTCCATCAGTTATAAGATGATATAATCCAAATGGAAGTGAATATTTGAGAATACTCAGCGAACATGATCATACCTGTGCACGTGAAGAGTAATTGTGGAAGCCACAATTGCATAGCCAATCACCATTTCGCCATCCTTTAGGTATTGGAGGAAGAGGAGGCTGATTTAGAGGGTTTGCATATGAAGGTCCAGAAACCTGGTTTCCACCTAATGGCCAAGTCGAATTCTGCTGCTGAACTCCATAACCATCAACCCCTCCAGCAGACCAGCTTGAATTCAAGGATAGTGATTGCTGGAGAACACCATTGCCTGCTAATCCAATATTCAACCTTTGGTCTGGTCCTCCAGGGCTCCTGGCGAAATAATGTTGATGAGTTGGGAGAGACACTCCAGGCATTGCAATTGCTGGCATTGCTGCTACCTCCTTCGGTTGCCCACACTTCTTGCACTTTTCTCGTGATGCATAATTGTTGTTAGTGCAACCTATTGATCCATTGCCCCACACACACGCAACCCACAACGCAGCCACGAAGATGGAAATGAAGCCATGTATACGCACACCAACCAGCCCATCCCATACACCAAAGGAAAACACACACAAAAAAGAAACAAAAACCACTCAACCTAATTGATAGCAAATTCTTCATCTCAATCAAACAAAACATAACAACCACTTAATCATTACTTTTGATCAACAATCACACATAACAAAGAAAAAATGAAAGAAAAGAAAAAGGAAAGACAAAGGTACCAAAAAGGAAGACACGAGAACTAGTTAATAGCACAAAAATTATTACCAAAATTGAGTCCCAAAATTCAAAAACCAAGTATCAAATTCCAATCCTAGTTCAGTAGTTCTTCACTGCACTATATTCGACACCAGATTAACCATAAAGACTAATTTAGATCGGCTAGCAACTAACCTGATTGAGAAAAGCAAGAAAACAATTACAACTACCTTAGAACCCCTTAAAACCTAAACCCAAATACACCAACTCAAGTCCCCAAAACCAAACTATCCACAAAGACTAAACCTCAAAACCCAAAAACCCCAATATCCAATAACAGAAAAATAAAGTCCCAACAAACACCAATAATCCAAAGCACAATTTTTTTTAACACAAAACATCCATATAAAACAAAAACATGCTGATACTCACATACATAGATAAATATCCTAACACCCCATAATAACAAGAAAAATCACAACAAACACCAATCACCAAAAGTTCAAATCTTCAACACAAATAGACTGATATTTATAAAGCAAACACAGAGAAATAAAAAGAAAGAAAGGAAATTTAAAAGGGATTGATTGGGGTAACTAACCAGTGCAGATCCAATCACCAATACGAGGGAGCCATTTAGAATCAGGTGGGGTTTTGTAATCAACAAGAAGTCGAGGTTGCTTACATCTATTACAAAAAGATCTAAACGCATAGTTCCTGTTTTGACATCCACTGCACTCCCAATCCCCTTCTCTTCCTTCTCCCATATTCTCTCCCTTATCCTCTTTCTTCGTGATGCTAACAAAAAAAGAAGAAGGGTTTTTTGGCTTTCGTATCGAAGACTTGTTAGGGGTTAGGACTTCCTGTTAAGACTAGTTAGCTAAAAGTAGTTGTCATTGAGTTTCTGTTTTTCGATGATGTTTTTCGGCCAGCGAAGGAAGGAAGAAATTCCACAGTTCGAGGGGTTTTGCAAGTGTGAGTAACTGTTTTTGTTTTTTCTGAGCTATTTTAAAACACATATTTTTGGCGAGTTGGGCCGGCCACATAGACACTATTTCCCACCCATGGTCTGTAAGAATGGGCTGATGGCCTCAAAAGAATGCTAACGGGCCTTGCGAGAAAGCTGTTATCAGGGTAAATGAGTTCGTGGTGCCTGTACTATCAATTAAATCTTAATGAGGTCCCTCGTTTTTAAAATTTTTCAATCCAAATCTTTCATCTTGAATTCGCTAACACAATTAGTTCTTCCGTCCATCACAATTACAAATGAAGAAAAACTACCTTTAAATATAAACATATCTTATTTTTATTGCACAGTATGGGTCTCATTTATTCTAATTTTAAAACACAATTAGCATATAAACAAATTAAGAAATTAAAAAAAAATAAAAATCAAACCCCCCAATTAAAGATACCCAACCCAACCACCCACTTCTTTCTGTCTTCTCTCTCTTGAAATAGTTGAAGCTTGTTGGGGCTAGTTTCTTTCTCAAGCAAAACAATTTTTCTGAATGGCAAACCATGACAGAAACAAATTCTTAGGAGGCATTTCGTTGCTAGAATCTTAATTACAACAGACCTAGCGTTGGTTTTTATACCATGGTACATCAATTTCTAGTCACTACTACTATCCTTAGGAATAATGAAATTCCTTAATCCAATCATTGTGTTTTAATTTTTAGCAATACAATTAACTTTTTTTTTTTTTTTTTTTTTTTTTTAAGGAGAGAGATGTTGTGAAAAACAAAATAGAATAAATGGGATTCACGTTATCCAATGACAATAGAATACGTGTTGATAGTTGTACTTATCTCATAGAATATAGGCCTCTCTTTAATGGCATTTATCTACATTAAAGTCTCCTCCCCTTCAAATCCCATCCAAAATTATGTTAATTTTTTAGAGAGAGTTATGGAGCTCGTTGTGTTCCCCTTTACTCTAAACTTGTTCAAAGCCTTTACTTATAAAGTTCTTAAAATACCCTTTAGCGATCAATCACTCTATCTTCTCTTTTAGCACAAAATAGTCTTATGTGTTATGTTTATTGTCTTATATAAAATATAATATTTTTTCAAATTATAATACTAGAGAGCATTTTCTATAGAAGAAGGATAAAAGTCATAGTTTGCGACATATATCTAGTGTGGGTAGCATTCAAAAGAATAATTTAGAGTTTGAAGAATACCAATTGGCTTTGGATGGACCTTTTGGGTTTTTCTTCAAGTTTTGGTGATTTTGAAAACATTTGTCCTTCTTTATCCTCTCTTCTCTTGTCTTTTGGAATCAAAGGTAAGTTTGCCTAGCAACACTAGCCTCATTCATTTGCATGTGGCTTTTTATCACCTTCTTTACTTGAAGAAGATTTCTATCTAAAAAGGCATGAGCTCCCTCTACAAACTAGCATCATAAACTCCACCTATCAAGGTTTTCATGGTGATAGGTTCTAATAAGCCATCTACCTTCGACATATCCTCATAAAACCTAGAGATGTATGCTAGCATACTCACATTTTCTTTTGAAGTGATGTCAAAAAAGTCGATGGAGCTTTTTTTTAATAAGGATGTTGATGGAGAACCATGCCACTAGTTTAGAACATAGGTCTATAAAGCTAAATATGGATGCGGGGTTTAAATTGTTGTACCATTTTTGGTTTATCTTGTCAAAGATAATGGAAAGGATCTTGTATATAGCATTCATTGGTTCAAGGTTGCCTCGACATTCTATGCATATTCCTATAGATTGGTAAGACCACTATATATACAAACTATTTTTAGAGCTTATTGTTCAATATACAAGGAGCGAATGGAGAGGCTTGGACCATGACCTAGTGTTAGGGTTGATGTTTCTTAATTTTTAGCCATAAAAAGGAGTTCAAATATGAGAAAAGATAAAGCTGAATGCTAGCTTTTAGTTCGGTCCCCACGGACAACGCTTCTAATAAGGTTGTAAAACCTTAAAAGATGAGTGGTTTTTTCATAGTTAGTGCGATAGGAGTGCACTGCTAGTTTATGACATTTGTGATGACCTAAATACCTATAAAATAAGTCTTTTTATTGGATGGAGGACCCTCTAATAATTAAATTAGTGTATAAAGGAAAATGGTGGCTTGAGAAGGAAATGGCGTAAGTATAAAAAAAGATGATGAATAGTAGCTTTAAGAGAGAAAAAGTCTAGAGTTCCTAACACTAGATTCATGGCTAGTTATCTAGCTATGAGGCATGTCAAGTTGCATAAAGAGAGAGGTAAAATTGTCCATCTATTTGTTGTGTTGATAAGTCAATGCTAAATAAACATGATGGCATCATAGTTGTTATTGATTGGACAAAAGTAACTTTGAGGGTATTTCTTTATATAATGATCACACTATATGTTCTTTTGGTAAGTGAGGGATAGGTGTAAACCATTTAGCCATTAACTGGTCGGCTAAGGATACTCTTGATTATCCGTCTAAGAGCTTCATCTATCTAGCTTTTTCTCGGGTGGGGTGATAGATTGAAAGTAGATCATAATCTTATCACTTTTAAAAGGAGTCCACGGGTAATCAAGTATTCAAGATATATCAAGTAACATTTAAAAAAGAGCAAATTATAAATCGGTCCCTCCAGTTTTCAAAAAAGAATTAATTAGTTTCTTTTATTTTAAAAATTAATTATTTAGTTCCTGTGTTTTTAAATCTAACTTAATCTTTTTGTTTTTTTTTTTAATTTTTATTTTAAAAAATAGAAAAAAAGTAAAAAATATAAAGATTGATGAGAAAAGAATAGATTTTGTGAACTAAAATAATATTAATTAAGTGTGATATATTGGTCGAATGACTAAATAATTAGTTTTTAAAACAAAAATGACTAATAAATCTATTTTCTTGAAATTATAAGGACTAATTTATAATTTACTGATCTAAGGCATGATACAAATTCAATGTATTTTTGCTATTTAAATACTCTTTGTAGTGGTCAAAGATTCAGGTTTTTTCTTTGTGAAGTGGCATATGAATAGGTCAAGATAAAAATGGTTCACTTATATAGGATAATATAATTTGAAATTGCGCATTTAGTGGTTAATAAATAAAAAATAATTTCTAAAGTCTCGTTTTGATAAAATAGAAAAAGTACATCGAAACACTCGTTTAACTTCAAGGACTTTTTGAAACTTTGCGAGGTGGCGGCCCCACGCCCAGGCTTCCACACAAATTCTAGTACTTTACCCCTTCAATGACTCTGTTAGACCAATACAACTTAGGAGCAACGTGTTCTGCAAGTCTAGAACCTTCCATGGTTATCTTGAATTGGAACTCCCAACTTTCTAGTAATATTTTGGAAAAACCAAGAGGCAAGAGCACTTGAGCCTCCCAGAGATTGATTAGTTTATTGATTCCTTTACAGATTTTCAGTTTAAAAGAAAGGAAAGCAGGAATTAATCAAATTACTGGCAAATTAAAGGATCTTTCCACCCCTCATTTGCACTATCAGATGCGACTTGGCCTACCTTTTCCCACCTTGTCAGGTGCAATTCCAAGCAAACTTCTTTGCTCTAACAGCTGTATTATCCATATCCATAGTACAGGTTTTTCCATGATTGGACTGAAAGTCCATGGAAATTTTGCTTCTTTTTCTAGGATTGGTCTTTGAATCTATATAATCGACTTCAGCACTTTGTTTCCTATTATAACTAGGATTCTAGGAATTCACCATCAGAGGTTAACGACTGAGACCATCCCAAAAAAAAAAAAAAAAAAAGAAAAAAAAAGAAAAAAGAAGAAGAAAAAGAAAAGCAGAGAGCTAGCAAGTAGCAAGCAGTGAGAAGAAGAGACAAGAAGATCAAGAAAAGAGCAAATGGGATCAGGTCTATCCCTTATAGCTTCTGTTGCAATTCTACGTAGCTCGATCAATGACTTCGTTCCGCAAGAAATACGTAGTTGTTTGCTGGAATTAGTTAGTCGTTTTTCCTCAGAACTCACAATGGTTATTTATGACTCGCATGAAGGATCAAATAACCATCTCTTTAATGCCCTGATGATATATCTTGGCAGCAATGCTTTCTCTACCGCATCTCTGCCGAAAAGAGTCACGGTGGGCAAGAACGAGAACATCAAGGCACTCACGTTTAGTCTTGACAGGAACTGCAAGATTGTTGACACTTTCAATGGTGTGGACATGAAGTGGGCTTATTGCAGTGAATTCAATGCAGCACTCCAGTATGAGTTGAAATGGTATGAGCTTCGCTTTCATAAGCGACATGCCAATATGGTCAGGAACAAGTATCTGCCTTACATTCTTGAAACGGCTAAGAAAATTAAGAATCAAAACAGGGTAGTTAAGTTTTACACTACTCGCGGGGGACGCGATGGATGGAGCTGTAAGGGGATAAACTTGGATCACCCTATGACTTTTGATACGCTAGCAATGGATGGAAACCTCAAGCAAAAAGTTATAGAGGATCTCGATAGATTCATCAAGGGAAAGAAGTATTACAAGAAGATTGGTAAAGCATGGAAACGGGGCTATTTATTGTATGGCCCTCCAGGAACTGGGAAATCAAGCTTGATAGCAGCCATGGCCAATCATCTTAATTTTGATATCTACAGCTTGAACTTGTCTGCTGTCAGCTCTGATTCTTCCCTGGACTTTTTGTTGCTTCATATGTCCAATCGTTCAATTCTTGTGGTTGAAGATATCGACTGTTCGATTGAGCTACAGAATCGTGAAGCAGGGGATCATCCATCGGATCTTGATCCAACTCCGAGGAGGCCTCAGGTTGGATTTTTATATTTCCATTTCTCATTTCACATCGAAAGTAAACTTATCAACTGCTTAAGTTCAATATATTGTTATTTATTTAGTCAAATCACATATTAAATCTCTGGAGATCAGTACTATTAGACTTGGGTGTATTAACTGCGGCTGGTTAAGGTTAGATACCTGAAGACATGGTACTTCAGAACTAAAGATATGTTTCTTCCTCTCTGAAAAAGGTTGGTGTAACGCTCTCTGGACTTCTCAATGCCATTGATGGCCTATTGTCCTGCTGTGGAGATGAAAGGATTATAGTTTTCACTACTAACTACAAAGATCGAATCGATCCTGCCTTGCTAAGAGCAGGCCGGATGGACATGCACATTAATCTTTCATACTGCACATTCTCCACCTTCAAGCAGCTTGCAGCCAATTACTTGGACATTTGGAACCACGATCTCTTTCCTCGTATTGAAAAGCTTATCTCAGAAGTTCAAGTCAGCCCAGCTGAAGTTGCTGGTGAATTAATGAAGATTAGAGATCCTAAAACCAGTCTCGAGAGCCTCAGCAGGCTTTTGGAAAGCAAAGTAAGTCCTGATTGTTTCAGATTTATGTTTATTACTAACAGCCAAGTTGCAATGTGCAGCAATATAATTAAGTTTCTTGACAAGAACTTTGCGGGATCCTGCAAAGTGTACTGAATTTTTGTACTCACGTACGCAACTTACATCATTTACCAGTACTTCTTGCTACCTGTATTGTATTTATCAGAGAGAAGCAGCAAAATTCTCAGCTCCTCCTCCATCAGTACCTGAAGGTCTTGAGGATGCGCCAGGTGGCAGCAGTGAGATCCCTTACCAGAGGAAGGAGCATCAGGTTCAGTCTTCCTGCAAGACCAATGATTTAGCTGACGCTATCTTCTCCAAACAAACCAAAATTCCATCTTCTGCAACTCCGATTGGTCCAGCAAGCAACGGGAGTAAAAAATGTAAGAGCAACGGGAGTAAAAAATCTAAGAGCAACGGGATTAAAAACTCTAAGACAACCTGAGGTCAAGAACATTCTGCTGTGGACATCCCAAAGCTAAATATAGAGGGCAGAATTACAAATGTTTTATCGATTATCTCACAGATTGAAGGGATTCGAAGCACTACGAACAGTTTCCATCAGTTTCACCACAAATCATTAGGTACAGGGTTGCATTGATCTTGTTCTTTTTCATTCTTTTCTTCTGGAATAAAGAGCTGGGAAGTTCTTTCACTTAGCATATTCAGTCAAATTCCGCCAAATGCCCAAGTCCATGGAAATGTAATAATATATTGTTTCACTGTTTGTCTTTTCATGAATAATTAATCGAAATGCAACGTTTGGAAACTAATTTATTATCTCATTTTTTTCAGAACCTTCCATTTTTTCTTTTTTGGTAAATTAATTTGCGTTCCTGAATTTGTTCCCTGGATAACTAATGGCATGATCAAATAGGAGGAGCCGTATCACAGATTTCATTCAAGTGATCATCAACTCATTCAATTGCAAACCTAAAAAGTATATCAATGAAAACGTAACAGGTTTCTAAAATAGACAACATTTATGAGTTTGAATTATGTTTAGTTTTCAACTGTATAAAGCTTGCAGTTGGTAGCCCAATGCATCTAGGTGACACAAACGTGCAAACTTGCAATTCATTGTAGATTTGCCTTGGCACATGCTGAAAACAACTTCAAGGTTGGCAGCTTCTTCTTCTTTTTTCCTGAATCAACAAAAATTTAGAACTCTTTCCAACAAAATCACAAAACAAGATTACCTTCTGGCCTGTTCACAAGAAAAATCAGGAAGCATGGGTTTCAACCAAAGTTTGATTCAAATTTCTTTCCTGAATCAACGACAAAATTTGACTACTCGTTCTCACAAAATCACAGAACATATGTTGCGATCTAGCCTTGTCGTCATCAAACACTGGGAAGCATGGCTTTCAACCTGGACAATCGTTTCTCGCTTTTCAATGGTATGAAAATCTTTCTCCAGTACTCATTCTGAAACAAATCTTTCTGCAGCAGCAAACAGACCACGGTCAACACTCAACACCTTGCATTCTAATTATTGCAGAAAAGCAGTGACTTAAAGAATACAGATCATCGGTTTGAGCCACCGCTGTCTCTTATGGTTCCGAAAAAGATTTTTTCGATGGTGCAGCATATGCTTCTGAATTTGCAGCACTGGCGTGCGTTTATTGCATCCACCCACAGGATTTGCATTCGACCTTGAGCCCGAAATGTTGCTTGAGCAATTTTCACAAGGTGAGAAGGCATATTATCCGGTGGCAATTGGTTTTGTGAATATGATGTATAATTCATCATATATCGGACAACCCCATTTCCTATACGGCTTAATCGCAGGATACGCCCGCAAATACACTTCACAAGTTAAAACCAAACCAAACTAAAATGAAAACCAAAGCACAACATTTAAGGATTGTAGTAAAATCCCACCTCAATATATTCTTCCCACACAGAATCATCAGCATCCACCATCTTCCTACGATACTCCCAACCAAACCCACCATGATTATAGAGAGGTTTCGCAATCCGATATCGTTTTTTAAACACAGCAACATGTTTCTTCAGTTCCAGCTTGTCACAATTCAGACCTGTCTCCTGATGAACTCTTTGCACACATGATCCCATGTTTCTTCATTGAAACCAAAAAATTCGCTATTCACTCCTTTCGGGCATTTGTCCTTAGCCTTCAATCACCATAACCTTTTTCCATTTTCAAACAAGAGGAGGTGCATTTACAAATCTTTAGTTGGTTGTCCCCAACCATAGCCACGCCACCTCTTATAGAGAATTTTAGAACTAAACATCTGGTGTTGATAACTGTATTTATCTCATAGAGTAGAGGCCTCTCGGTAATGGCATTTATCTATATCAGGGTCTCCTCCCCTTAAAATCCCATCCAAAATTATGTTAATTTTTTAGAGAGACTCATCATGCCCGTTGTGTTCCCCTATACTCTAAACTTGTTCAAAGCTTTTTTGTAACATCTCTAACCTAGGACTTATAGTAACATTTGAACCTAGGACCTAGTAGGCTGAGAACATTACCTCTATTGACCTATATTCAAAATGCAATGAATATAAGTTAATAAGACACTCGTGTCTTTCCTATGACATTCTAGGTATAGATTATGCTTGTGAAAACCTATAAAAGACGAATAAGTCATATATTTCGATAAAAAATGCATTATAAATTTTTTACATTTTATTATTTTATTTAGGTTGTTTGGACTAAATGAATTTGATCTGTGACACTCGGTTTTCCCAAATTTCTTTTCCATTAGTTTTTAGGAATTTATTTATTAATCACCCGTTACTTGATATTTAATTTCTTTTATCCTGATTAATTGTCATTTATTATTATTATTTTCTTTATTGATTTAGTGATCACATATTATTATTAACGTTAACGTATGAGAAGCCGATTAAAAGAAACTAACACTAACTATAACTAGGTCATTTCACTATCATCGATTTGTCCAAAATTTTGGTTACATACAAACTACACCTATTTACATACAAACTAGCTTAATGCCATATAATACAAAAATGGCTTACTTAACTATTTACATCATATTTTCAACTATATGTCTACTAGTTCATAGCTTTAACTATTACATAAAAGAAATTTGTCATACCTAGAATGTAAATTATAATACCAAGCACTAACAAAAGGATTGCGTGAAGAAGGTCCACTTGGAAGCCGAAGCCCCATTCAAGATATACGCGGCGCATGGATCCCTTGATGATTAGTTCAAGGGTGAACTTTGTCATTCTTATCCTTAGTGTCTACACCGTAAGAAACTAGGTGAGCAACGACTTAGTAAGTTAATCCATGCATGACGTGAATATATGCTCGTGAGATGCACATGAAAAATCATTTTCATGTCTTTTCGAAAATCTTTTTCATTTCCATTCTAAAAATCCTTTTTCATTCTTAGATGAGCCCGGTCGAGTATCCGAAGGCACTCATCGGTACCCACTCGACCACTACTTGAGCATCCGAAGGTATGGGTGATCATTCGGTTAAACGGTTCGATTTGTACGATTCGATTCAATTTTCAATTAACCGAATTAAGAAAAATAAAAACCAAAACCGAACTGGAATAAATTTGATAAATTCGGTTTGTAACCGAATTATTTCAGTTTGGTTTCGAAATATTTCTGTTTTAATCAAAATATTTTATCGTAAAAAAAAATCATTACGAGAGAGATGTTTTGTACTAGCACTTAGTCCACTAGCCAATGAAGTAACATCTTGTTATCAATTAATCCTTTTTATAGACAATCACAAAGCCCTTGAAGATTTTAACTAGGCTTTAATGAAAACTAGTCCAAGTGTAATTGATTTTGTCATTCAAACCCACTTGTATCCCAATTAATTACACTCTGTCACTTTCTTTTCTCACCTCAACGGTCCTCAAAATTTACTTCCCATCTCGTGTGTTTCATTTTCGGTAAGAATGAAGATTGAAAAGTTAGGGATTTAGAAATTAGAAAATTTTTTACTATTTATTTCGGTTTTCGGTCGAAACCAAAATTTTTTTCTAAAAATCGAACCAAACCGAAATAATTTTGATTTTTTCGATTCGGTTTTATTTTGTATAATTTTACATTTAAAACCGAACCAAATTTCATAATTCGGTTTTCGATTAACCAAACCGTTTGCTCACCCCTATCCGAAGGCACCCATTGGTACCCCTTTTGGTGTCGAGCATCCGAAAGCACTAGCTTGTACTCATCTGGACTTATCGAGCATCTAAAGGTATATGTCTACACCCGCTTGACCCATAAAACTCATGAAATCCATGTACCATGTAAATCATAAAAAGTCATGAAACTTTACATGAACCATAATTATTTTCCAAATGCTTTTGGAAAAATCATGAACAAAATCTTTTCATGACTTTGGAATTATTTTCATGAATTGGCATGTTAATGTATTTAATGTAAATGCATTATGCTTATGCATTGTGTTTTACATACCAAGTTAAATGCCATAAATAAGATGCATATTTAAAACCATAATTACACCAAGACATTCATACCTTGCATTACCATTCCATGAAATAGCACCATTAACATAAACATTGCATAACCTCACAAAGGCACCATGGTCTAATACAAGACAATGCACATCAAACCATCCAATTTACAACATAACAATCACATATTCACATCCAATGGCAACACATAAATCACATTGAAATCAAGTCACAAAAAAAAGCCATGAACACCAATTTCTTCTAATATGGCCAAATGTGCCATTTAATTAGACTAGGAAAATTTTTCCCATTTCCATGTTAATTCTTCATGCCAATTCACTCCATTATATTTTAATATCAAAAGTTTAATCAATTAAGCATTCATAAGCTAGTTAGCATGTAAAAACCCTAAATTGGGCTTAATGGGCTAAAAACCTACCTAGAGTAATCTAGGCTAATTTTTCAATTTCAATAAAATTTCTCATTCTAATTTATCTTTTTACATTATTCCAACTTGAAATTTATCAATTAAGTCATTAGAAATCAAATGCATTCAAACCCTAATTTCCTCCTAAATTGGGCCGAATATGGTTTTAGGGAAACTAGGTTAAATTTTTAATTTTTATATAATTTCTCATGCTAAATTATCAATTTACACTTAAATAATACATAATCATGCAATGGAACATTAAACAAATCAGAGCATAAAAAAATCCCCAATTTGAGCATTATGGTCGATTGTTTTCTCTCTCCTAACCCTAGAAATTTTTTATTTTTCTTCATCAATTTTCAGCCTCATTAACAAGTTTTAAGCTCAATTGCATGATTTTTTTAACTCAAAATCATTCCCCCAAATTGCTCTAACTAAGAACCCTAACCCTAATTTTCAAAATTAATTCAATTAAATACAAAATTAGGGTTCCAAAATCACAATTAACATACAATAATACTTCGTTATGGTGTAGGTGAGATTAATTTACTTAAATAGCTCCAAGTAAACCTTGAAAAGTTAGATTGCTTGAGAATCTCTCCTTCCTCCTTCTTCGCTCTAAGTTTCGGCCAAGTGTGGGATTTTTTCTCCTTGGAATTCTTTGTGTTCTAACTAAAATTCTATGTGTAATTGGATGATTTAAGGTGTTTGGAAGTTTTTAGGAGAGAAATTGGGTGAAGGTTTATGAAAACTTTGTAAGAGTTTCCCCTAATTTTTTCATTTTTCCTACAACCCATATTTGTAGGAAAAATTAGTTAGAATTTTTCCCTTCGTTGACTCCATCTCAACCCTTCATTTGGTTCAATCTTGCCCTTAATTCTCCTTTTAATTCTAACCCTTCAATTGGTTTTATCCTAACCATTCATTCTTTCTTTAATTTTTATCCTTTCATCTAACCATCCTCTTTAAATCCTCTCCTTCCATTTTTGCATGCATTAATTTCACCCAAATAATTGGGTGAAAATGGTAGCTAAAAAGGAAAAAATTTCTCCCAAAATTTGCTTAATTTTAGTCCTTTAATTTGCTAATTTTCCTTGATTTACTTTTCCACAAGTCTTCCAATTATTCAATCGATTCCTTTAGACCCTTCCTTTAAAGGTTTTCTAACAATTTTTTAATTCCTAAAGTTCATTTCTAATTTAATTTGAAAGTTTAAACTTTTAATTTTATGCAATTAGGTCCCTAATTCTATAAAATTTATTCCACGCCTTTTCAAAAATTAATTTATTTTCATAATAAATTTAAGAACCTCCTATAATAATTTAATCATCATTTAAATAATTTTTATACACTTATTTAAGCCCTCTAATTAATTATTTTGTGTAGAAATACACTTATTTCTATAGAAAATATTCCCTATACATTGAAAAATTCATCTAAGTTCATGGAATATTTCTACACATCCTAAGTGATTTATCTATATCCATTGGATAATTTCATGCACCTTTAAAGCACTTAAAGTAATTAATTTACTTAGAGAACACTATTCATGCATCGTAAAGTTCAAATAAAATAATCACCGAATATCAAAAAATTCACCCATCACACCAAATAATCTAACACACTTATAGAATATATTCTATGTAAATAAAATATTTTTCATGCACATTTAACATGCTTAAAATAATTATTTCACATAAAAAATCACTATTCATGCACTCGAAAAATCAGTAAAATATTCATTGAGTATGAAAAACTATATTAACTACTTTAATTATTCTAACAACCCCTTAGGGATTATTTAATGCCTAAAAAATATTTTCATATGCTTTTAACATCCTTAAAATTATTTAATAACAATTTTAATGAGTATTGGATATCATACTTTCCTTACAAAATTCTTAAAGTACCCCTTAGCGATCAATTGCTCTATCTTCTTTCTTAGCACAAAACATTCTTATGTGTCATGCTTATTGTCTTATATAAAAGATAATACTTTTCAGATTATGATATTAGGGAGCATTTTCCATTTAAGAAGGATAAAAGTCATAATTTGTGACATATATCTCATGTAGATAGCATTTAAAAAAATAATTTAGAGTTTGAAGAATACCAATTGGCTTTAGATGGACCTTTTGGGTTTTTCTTCAAGTTTTGGTGATTTTGAAGAGATTTGTCCTTCCTTATCCTCTCTTCTCTTGTCTTTAGGAATCAAAGGTGAGTTTGCCTAGCAACACTAGCCTCTTTCATTTGCATGTGGCTTTTTATCACCCTCTTTACTCGAAGAAGATTTCTATCTAAAAAGGCATGAGCTCCCTCTGACGACTAGCATCATAAACCCCACATATCAAGGCTTTCATGGTGATAGATTCCAATAAGCCATCTACCTTCAACATGTCCTCATAAAACCGAGGGATGTATGCTAGGATACTCACATTTTCTTTTTAAGTGATGTCAAAAAAGTCGATGGAGCTTTTTTGTAATAAGGATGTTGATGGAGAACCATGCCACTAGTTTGAACATACATCTTTAAAGCTAAATATGGATGCAGGGGTCTAAATTGTTGTATCATTTTTGCTCTATCTTGTCAAAGATAGTGGAAAGGATCTTGCATATAGCATTCGTTGGCTCAAGGGTGGCTCTAACATTCTATGCATATATATATATATATATATAAACTCTTTTTAGAGCTTATGAATCAATATACAAGGAGCAAATGGAGAGGCTTGGACCATGATCTAGTGTTAGGGTTGGTGTTTCTTAACTTTCAACAATAAAAAGGAGTTTAAATATGAGCAAAGGTAAACTGAATGCTACCTTTTAGTTTAGTCCCCACGTACAATGCTTCTAATGAGGTTGTAAAACCTTAAAAGACGAGTAATTTTTTCACGGTTAGTGTAATAGTAGTACCCGCTGGTTTATGATAGTTGTGACGACTCAAATACCTATAAAATAAATCTTTTTATTGGATGGAGAACCCTCCAATAATTAAATTAGTGTATAGAGGAAAATGATGGCTTGAGAAGGCAATAGTGTAAGTATAAAAAAAGATGATGAATAGTAGTTTTAAGAGAGAGAAAACTCTAGAATTAATAACACTATGTCTCATGGCTATTTATCTAACTATAAGGCATGTCAAGTTGAATGAAGAGAGAAGTAAAATTATCTATCTATTTGGTATCAATAATTTTTAATTCTGATTAGAGAATAATTATTTTTTATGTTGATGGATCATCGCTAAATAAACATGATGGTATTATAGTTGTTAATTTGTTATTGATTGGACAAAAGTAAATTTGGGGGTATGTCTTCGATTAATGAGGGTACTATATGTTCTTTTAGGAGGTGAGTGATAAGTGTAAACCAACGGCCATTGGCTAGTCAGCTGGGGATAGTTTTGATTATCCTTTTAAAAATCGCCCGATTGAGCTTCATCTATCTGGCTTTTTCTGAAATGGGGTGATAGGTTGAAAGTGGACTATAGTTCTTGTCACTCTTAAAAGGAGTTAAAAGGAGTACAGGGGTAATTGACTATTCGAGATATATGCACATTAATCTTTCATATTGCACATTCTCCATCTTCAAGCAGCTTGCAGCCAATTACTTGGACATTTGGAACCACGATCTCTTTCCTCATATTGAAAAGCTTATTTCAGAAGTTCAAGTTAGCCCAGCTGAAGTTGCTGGTGAACTAATGAAGATTAGAGATCCTAAAACCAGTCTCGAGAGCCTCAGCAGGTTTTTGGAAAGCAAAGTAAGTCCTGATTGTTTCAGATTTATGTTTATTACTAACAACCAAGTTGCACTGTGCAGCAATATAATTATGTTTCTTGACAAGAACATAGAGGGATCCTGCAAAGTGTACTGAATTTTTGTACTCACTTATGCAACTTACATCATTTACAAGTACTTCCTGCTTCCTGTATTGTATTTGTCAGAGAGAAGCAGCAAAATTCTCAGCTCCTCCTTCATCAGCCACTGAAGGTCTTGAGGATGTGCCAGGTGGCAGCAGCGAGAGCCCTTACCAGACGAATGAGCATCAGGTTCAGTCTTCCTGCAAGACCAATGACTTAGCTGACGGTATCTTCTCCAAACAAACCAAAATTCCTTCTTCTGCAACTGCAATTGGTCCAGCAAGCAACGGGATTAAAAAATCTAGGAGCAACGGGCTTAAAAAATCCAAGAGCAACCTGAGCACAAGAACATTCTGCTGTGGACATCCCAAAGCTAAAATTAGAGGGCCCAATTACAAATGTTATATCAATTTTCTCTCAGATTGAAGGCATCCGAAGTACTAGGTGTTGAAAAAAATAATTAATGTGTGGGCCAATTATGTTATTAATTGCCTGTTATAAGTTATCATAAAAAGATTAGCTCATTTAAAGTAATTTGATAAGATTTTAAGTTGTTTAGGCTTTATGTGTATAGATACCAAAATCTAATTTTTATTTTTACGATGGGCCAAAATGATAGTTAGACCCAAGACAGTTATTATATATATAGGGTTATGGTCTCAAGTCATATGTAGGTTTTCTATTCTAACATCTCATCATCGGAATACGGAGACATTTTCTCTAAAAGAAATCGTATAGACTTAGAAGATTAGGAGTCGCAAGAGCTACAACTAAGTCTCGTTCCTAAGGATTCGGGTATGTTTTTGCTTTAATTCTTTTCTCTCGATAATTTAACATGAGATCTTGATTATGATGATAGTTTTATCATCTTTAAAATATTCGAGTTTTTATTATTCATTTACTCGTAGCATTTCCTTTTTTCTTTTTAAGGGTTGGGCTTCGGAGAAGTAGGCTCGAGCAGGTCGACCTAGCTCACGAGCTCGCACAAGTAGTCCTGTTTGCCTTTTTTTCCTTTCAATAATTTATTTTTATATTTTTTATCATGAAATTATGTGTGAAAATATATTTAAAAAATCATTTTGTTTTAGTTTTACGTATAATTTGACCTTAATAGATTATATATGATATATTTTAAGAATTTAGTTTGAACATATATATTTGATTATATTATTTTTATTATTTAAAATTTATTTCTTCAATTATTTGTTTCTTATTAAAATTCTCATCAAATTAATTTTTTTTATATAATTTTATTTGTTAATAAATTTGATTTTTTTTTATATATTGATTTTGAAATAAAATTTAAGAATGTGATTTTTTTTATTTTTTAAAATATATTATTATAATTTATACTATTGATTACTTTTAGAATTTTTAAATGAGAGTAGCGTAATTGCATATATAAATTCGATGTAAGAGAGAGAGCTAATAGTGTGTTTAAATAATTTGATTTAATTTTTTAACAAAATAATAATTAGTTAAAAAATAATCGACTCAATTTAAAAAAAAAATTAGTCAAAAAATTCATAGGTTTTATTTGGTGTTTTATATATATAATCGAATTTATCGAAACCAATTTTATAATAGTTTTTATTTAAATCTATTCACTTCAATAAATTTCATGTGATTTCGGTGGGTTTTTATGAATATTTTTTTATTTATTTTATATACTACGAATACGTTAAGTACGATACATATATAGAAAATTAATTATATCCGCACACATAGCACTAATTATTTATTATTTATTTTTTTTCATGTACTAAAATCTGTATTTTTAAATAAAATAATTTAATTAATTTTTTGAAAGAACCTTTTAATTATTCAAATATAAATTTTTATACTAATAATATTTTATTTTGTTAATAAATATATATAAATCAAACTAGTTCACTTAATATATAGATTCGATTTACATTAATCTTCGTAAATAAAACTTCTACTCGCATCACATTATACAAATCATTAACTCTACGTATATAATGATTAACTCTGTATATATAATGGTTGCTCGACCGTAGTATAACGTCGGTATCTAACTAATATAATACTAGTATACCAATGGCATGATCAAATAGGAGGAGCCGTATCAGAGATTTCATTCAAGTGATCATCAACTCATTCAATTGCAAGCCTAAAAAGTATATCAATGATAATATAACAGGTTTCCAAAATAGACTACGTGTATGAGTTTGAATTATGCTTAGTTTTCAACTTTATAAAGCTTGCATTTGGTAGCCCAATGCATCTAGGTGACACAAATGTGCAAACTTGCAATTCATTGTAAATTTGGCTTGGCACATACTGAAAACAACTTCAAGGTTGGCAGCTTCTTCTTCTTCTTTTTTCCTGAATCAACACAAATTTAGAACTCTTTCCAACAAAATCACAAAACAAGGATTGCCCTCTGGACTGTTCACAATAAACATCAGGGTGCTTGGCTTTCAAGCAAGGTAACTGATTGTGAACCTTCTCCAGACATGGTGGCCAGTTCGGTCTTGATCAAACATCCTCTGATTGGTTTATTCACCTATAAGAATATTTGTTATTCCAAGAAAGTATATGAACTTGTCAACTGTTATTGTAACACAATGCCAAGGCAAAAATATTGTGTTTCATGCTGTAATTAAATTAACTTTGGAATACCAGAATTAAAGAGAGAACAAAAGAAGATAATAACGTAAAAGAAGGAAACTGAATGTTTTTGAAGGAGAAGAATTGCGTTGGTTCATTCCCTTTCTCCAAGTCTGAGACATCTTCAGATACACCAGAAATGAAAGCCAAACACAGAGCCCGTGGTTATAGTAAATTGAAATTCATTTTTCAGTTTTAAGACATTTGCACCTCGTATTTCTTGGAAACTCTCTTTGCATTCCTTATCTTTGGAAATTCTAGCGCCACCCCTACGAAGTATCAAATCCTTTATACTGTAGCTGTATAACTTTCTTCTGCAACTCTGTATTAGTGACTTATAATTGCGACCTCAAGATAGCCTTTTTGGAGAGAAACAGCAAAAACCCCAGCTCTTTTTTCGCAGGGTTCTGAGAATGTGATAAGAGTGGCTGCAAGAGTCCAAACCAAAAGGAGGAGCATCAAACTTTTCTGCAACTGCAATGGGTTCTACAGGCAAATAGAATTCAAAAATCCAAGATAAAATGAGCTTGAGTTCATGTTAAAAATCGTTTATGATCTTGACTAAACCGGGATGACTGAGCTGGTGTCATTGAAACTAATGACGTTGTTCATGCCGTGCTGCGCCCAAAAATCCCTAAGCTAAAATTAAATGGCTGCAATATTAACAATTTAAGTATCCCAGACTGAAACATCCCAAAGTGCGGAGGCCAAAATTGCATTTGTTTTCGCATTAAATCCTTAGTTAAAGGGTTAATGCTTTGACTTGATCCCTTTTATTCCTTTTTGTTTGGATGAAGAGCTAGGAAAGGACTTGATCCTTTTTATTCCTTTTTGTTTGGACGAAGAGCTAGGAAAGCTCTTTCACCTTCTAACACCAGTATATACTCAATCAATTTCTCTCACATGCCAATTGAAAGAGATCCATGCAAAAGTCAGCATATTAATATTTAACAAATGCATTTTGGGTAAGATTTTTTCATACGCCAGGTTCTTCTGGGTCAATTAGTTTCACATTTCATTTTGTAGAACTACCATTTGATCTACTTCTTTTCACTTTGTCTCTAAACACACACACACAAAAAAAGGATGCAAGTTTTGTTCCTGAAAGGATGAAATATCATTTTATTTTTTTCTTCACATGCATCCATAATTGGCCTCAATCTAGTTCTAATATTTTGAATCCCATTCAAAACAGACATTCTAATACATGACTTGCACGTGTTAGAGGTGGAGACTAACCTTTTAGACCTGCCTCAGCATGTGCTACAGAAGTTTCAAGGATTGAAAGCTTCAAAGTTTTATCCTGAAGTAACCAAAAGTCAACAAAGGTTGAGAACTATTTACAAAAAAATCACAAAAAGTAATTTCGGGTTATAACTTCTTCATCAACAAACACTAGGGAGCATTGTTTTCAACCAAGGCAACCATTTCTCCCTACTTAATGATACAAACATCTTTCTCCATTAAGCATTGTGAAACAAATCGAAGGCTGCTAGTGATAGACCATAATCGACACCTTGTATTTAATTTACTTTTGTAATACAGTTACCTACAAAATATGGATCATCAATTTGAGGCACTGCAGTTTCTGCTGGTTTTAATACAGCATTGTTCACTGGTGTAGCACTTGAGCAGAAATCCTCTGATTGATCTTGACCAAGATAGTTATTCACCGAATTAGCTAGGCATCGATTAGGCTACGCACCAAACCCCATCTTTATTATTCCAACCAAAGTATTAAAAAAAAATCCAAAGGCAACAAAAGTTTCATTTCATGCTGTAAACTTTGAAATACAAACTAAACCTATTATCCCCGCAACGAAGAGAAGTCAAAGGCAAAAAATGTTTGATTTATCAACTACAAATTTGCAAAATGACCCATGTAGGAGTGCAACACATATTCCCATTTCATATTCAAGAGTCAAATTGGGGTTGATATATAGATGTCCTATATTGTGTTATTACCAAAACATCTTCAGTTTGGCCTTAAAAAAGTGTAATATTAAAACTAGTTTTAAACAGCTATATCTAATCTAGTTTGTCACAGTAATTTCCAATTGTGTTCAGGTTGTGTAATATCAAATCTAGTTTCTCACAGTGATTTCCCATCGCATTTAGGTTGTGTTACAGTGTTGTTTCCAAGAAATGTCACACATCGGATAATTGGTTAAAAAAATTACAAATCAAATAATCAAAAAAAAAAAAAAAAAGACTACTGTAAAAATCACTGAAAAACAAACAAAACGCAGCTTATTAGAGGTAATTCATCAGATTTCTTGAGGATCAATTTAGCATGACAACAGTTGTTTAAGCCTTGAGGCATTTGTGTAAAACTGTAAAGATAACACTTGAGGATCAATTTCTTACTTCAGATTCCAGCTTGGGCACCTGCTGCCTTTGGTGATGTTTTACTGCCAAAACGATAGGTTAATATCGGATTGCGAAGGGTTAGGGAGCACTAAATTTGGCTGATTTTGTTGTTCTCCACCGTAGGCAAAAATACTTAGGTGCTAGTGATGTCTGGCAAATATTTTCCCATTTAGGGTTTGCGTTTTTTGGAAGAACAATAATGAGAACTTCATTTTCCAATCAAACCTTTTCATCTGATACACCTCCATATCTCCCTGTCACCATGGCCTGCTATCTCCTTAAAAATGGTGCCCCGAGCTATCTACCATGAAGCTTTAGCCCCTTTCTGCCTAAATGCCTGCAAGTGCCTGTTACATAGGCTTCCTTTTACCACCCTCGCCCTCTACGTGCAAAATGCCCTTATCTGCCACTTGTATGCATGTATGCCAGCTTTACCAGATCCTTTTCAGAGCTTAAAGAAATCAATTCATTGTACCGGAGCAGAAGTAAAACTGGTTCATAGGCCTAAGAACATAAAGGTGCAAAAAGACCAGGTTTAGACCCTACCATTGAACCCCAATATTGAACCTAACAACCCAACTAAAAAGAAAAGATTCAAAACACCAAAAATACATGATCACTCAACAGACCATTGTGACCTGCAAGAAAGAGTCATCAGGCATCACTCACCTTTCACTCGAGAAAGAAGAAAACTCTCTCAGCTTCTCTGCCTGACAAACCGAAGGAGGCATAAATGTCTGTGTGAGTAGATTATCTACCCTTCTTATTTATATCCAAGATTTTTGGTTTTGACACATGAAACTTCCAATCTCTTGGATTTGGACGTTGCAGATAATATGTCATCCAAGAAACAACAATTCTAGCGTTTCCGAACAGAATACAGTGTCATGCATACAGTACTGACAGCCTAATAGCAGCCAAGAACGGAATCAAATTAGTGGCAGTAATTGACAATGCCTTCGTACAGTGCAGTTAAAGTTTAATAAGTACAACGCATAGCACAACAGAGAAAAGTCCAGCAAACTTCCAATTATTGATTCATACAAAAACTTAAGCCAATTCCAGAACAGATTCGGCTCTAGATTTATTCATTTCAAAGCTTGCTAGTGATGTTGATGTTCCTGACTTTGGATGGCTTTGGATTGGTATCCTTTGGCACAACAATAGTGAGAACACCATTTTCCACTTGAGCTTTGATTCGATCCAGCTTAACATCTTCTGGTAGCTCGATTTCTCTAGAAAAACCCCTGTTCCCTGGCCCTCTCTCAGCTACATGCCAAACAGTGTCTTTCCCTTGGACCTCCTCTTTAAAACCCTCACCTTTAATTTGCAAAATATTCCCATCTTCCACTTGTACCTTTATGTCCTCTTTGTTAAATCCTACACAAAAGCAAGAATTAATCACAACAAGAAAGAGAAAACTTAAAATTCAACTCAAGAAAACTCTGAAGAGAAGTTGAAATGCAGTGGCAAAAAGACTCAATCTTTCAATACAATTACCCTTAAACTTAACCAACCCATCAAATTTTACCCCTTAAAGATTCAAACTTCAGACACAAAAGACTAAAAATTCATTAAATTTCAAGCATAAAATTTTATTCTTGCCTAATTCAAGAAAATTCATTTACCAGGGACATTGACTTTAAAGACATGGGCAGTTGGGGATTCAAGCCAGTCCATGTGAGCAGTTGCTCCAGACCATTCACGGTACACTGGAGGGCTTAAGAAGAAGCGCCTAAAAGGGTGCCCAAAGAAGCCGTCAGCCATTGTTAAAGACTAAGGAAAGAAGAAGTGAGCTTGATAATCGGTTCGGTTTGATGTTTTGAACTTCTTATTGTGTGTTGTAAAGTAAGAGAGATGATAGGGGTTTGGTTTGGCTTTATATGTCAATTTGTTGTGTAAGAGAGTCCAGAAGGATCTGTGGGGTTGTTTTTCTGTCTACATGTAGAACTCTAGGACTTTGGAGTAGAGATATGGCATTTATTGCGTCACAAAATGTTGTCATAAAATCTCCATTAACTAAAAAAAGAAAAATATGATCTAGACAGTATGCTTCCCACTTTCTGGGTTGGGATTTTTAGAAATATGGCCTGAAAGAAATTATTCGTAAATAAACTTGTTTAAAATTGGACGGATTAAAAACAACAACAACAAAAAAAAAAAAAACAGAGAGAGAGAGAGAGAGAGAGTTATGCAATTTGTTTTCAGATTCGATAGCAGCTACCTTGCTTTTTAGAGAAAACTAGTCGGCTTTCTAGCAACGTTGATACTGACATACTGCGCATAAACTAAAGATATTTATTTTATTTGGTACCGATCAATAAAAATATATTAAATTAAATTAATAATAAAATGTAATTTAATTTTATAATTTTTAATCAAAACTTTATATTTATTTTTTATTTTTAATAAATTCTATAGTTAAAAAAACATAAATTATTCTTTTTTATTCATTTATTTTTAAATAAAAACTCATAATAATCTAAATATAAAATGAATTTAATATTTTTTATATCACTATATCGAATAAATAAAGCAACAATAAATATAAATTCTGTATAAAAATTAACAAATAAATCTTTTTTTATTCTTGTTTAATAATGATGAAAAGATTTTTTTTTAAGAATATATACATTTGATTTATATTTATTTATTTACGAAATAATGAATAATATTAATATAAAATATTATATTTGAATTATTAGGCGATTCTTCTAAAATATTATTTTAATTATTTTATTTAATAGATATATATAAAGCGGATGGCTAGTATTATGAGTGTAGATACATTATACATAGTTAATTTATAATAAAATCAATAACTCTAATTCTTTTTTTATATATATACATCATCATTGTATTCATCGGGTTAGAGTGTGCAACATAAATCGAATTTTTAAAAAAAGTTATAAAATATATATTGAAGTTAATAGAGTGTAATAAAAAGAATTACAAAATTGATTTCGATAAAATTTGATTATATAAAAATAATTAAATAAAACACATGAATTCTATTTAAAAAAAATTGATTATATATATAAAGAAAAGCAACTAAAAGCACCTAAAAAAAAACTTATTTAAAAATCCACACATAAGATAAAATAAATTATTTTTATTAGCAAATAAAATTACATAAAAAAGAAGAATAAAAAATTAATTTGATGAAAATTTTTATAAAAAATTCCAAAATGAAAAGATCAATTTTGAATAATTAGAATAATATAATCCGATATATATGTTTTTATTTTGGCATTTCTTATAAAAATATATCGTATATATTTTGAATAATTAGAGTAATGATCGTCAATTTTTGTGAAATACAAAAATTAACTTGATGAAAATTTTTATAAGACACGTTAAAATAAAAACATATTATATATATTTCATAATCGTCAATGTTGTAAAAAAATAATAATAATCATCATTTTTTTATAATTTTCACACCCAATTTACTAATGAAAAAACATAAATTGGTAGAAAAAAACCAACAAAAAAACAAAACAAAAAAGAAGAAGAAGAAGAAGAAGAGAAAAAATAGTGATTGATTTTTTATAATCTTAGCACCCAATTTAATAATAAAAAATCATAAATTGATGGGAAAAAATCAAAGAAAAAAAAAAGAGGAGGCAAGCAGCAGCGCCTGCTTCACTACAGCAACCTAATGCAGCACAAAAGGATGAAATAGCCTAGGGATAAAAATTTCATTTTAAAACTTCAGGGACCAAAATAAAAATATGAGGTAAGCTTCTATTATAAATGCCCAAAAACAGCTTAAAAATCATCTTAAAAAAATATCATCCTCATCTACAGTATATCCATAGTGTTTCGTAAGAGGATGAATAGTGAAGATTACTGTTTATTTTTCTCTATTCTTTTAGTATTGTTTGTTAATTTGTCTTCTATTTTTATCAATTTATTAAAACAAAAATTCCCTTATTTTCATCAATTTGTTTTACCGCAATCCAATTCCATCCCTAAATCTTGTTTCCCAATTCAATAATAAAAAATTATAAATTGGTGGAAAAAAACCAAAGAAAAAAAAGAGAGGAGGCAGGCAGCAGGGCCTGTAGAAGTAGGCCACTACAGCAACCTATGCAGCACGAAGAGATGAAATAGTCTAGGGATAAAAATTCCATTTTAAAACTTCAGGAACCAAAATGAAATATGAGGTAAACTTCGAATATAAATGCCTAAAATAGCTTAAAAATCACAACAACAAAAATTCTACCACTAACACAAGATATTGTATTTAGAATTTTCTAAGACTTTAGTCAATAGTTTAATATTTTTAAACTTCTTTTGCACACTCTTAATGATATTTTTTTAAAATAATATCAGCTCTTCTTTATAATATTATAAACTCTCACATTTTTAACTTTTCAATAAACTAAATATATGAATACTAAGCAATTGGCAAGCTAATTTCATCAAATTTTTCAGTTCTGTAAAAATTATTTAGCCCAATAAAATTTGTCACTTGAAGAACTCACTTATTGGTTAATGTCACAAAAGAGAAGAACTTATTCCCACACAGAGTTTATTACACGACATGCAAAAAAAAAAAAAAAATAGTCTTTATTTTCACTGCAGATTTACATAGATCATATTTGGTATCAATCACTGTTTCTAGAGTTTTAACATGGGAAAAAAAAATGATTAGAAAACAAAGAATGTTACCGTCTGCATAACTCCAGACAAATGATCCAGTGAATGAGCCACGAGGGGAAGGTTGATGTTTCATTTTTGTCTTTGTAGGTTCACCATTCAATCCATGCTTCGGAAAGCATTGTGCCATTTTCCTCTGAATGGAACCCTTTTCTGGTACATGCTACTATATATATATATATATATATATATATATATATATATATATATATATATATATACTCGATGAATTTAGTTTAGATTTGCTAAGTTTTTTTTTTTTTTAACTCACACATCCAAGACTCTTAATAAAATTAATTTGTTAGTATTTAAATATATGACTTTTTATTGTAAAAAACTACTAATGTTGGATAAACTCTCTGGTATATTCGCTAAGTTATTTATATCACTAACCAAACAAACTATTTTAATTAATTTGAATCAAACTTCAATCGTAATAATTTTTTTTCAAAATGCCATCTTTAAGTTTTTCTGAAGTAGTGGAGCTTTTCTAGAAAACTACTCTCTTAGAATTTACAAGTGACTTTTTAAAGTATGTTTAGTTCCTAATGTATTTTGTTTAGGTTTGATGTTGGTCTATGGAAGTTCTAAAACTTGCTCTATAATACCAAAATAATATAGTTTTAGTGAAAGCCATGGGACCTTGTTTAGGACGTTACTAACTAATCACCTGTACTACGCTATTGGTCTGATATAATAAAATTGTTTTAAAATTTTTTATTTAATTAATTTTTTCTATTGTTTTTCATAAATTTTCTATTAAAAAAAATAATTCATTTTTATTTATGGATTTATTTTTAAATAAAAAATTTCAACAATTTAAATTGAAATATTAATCACGAATTTAAAAAAATTAAAAATATATTTTTCATAATATTGTATCTCAAAAATAAATTTATAATTAATGGCTAGACTTGTATAAAAATTAATGAATGAATTTTTTTATTCTTTTTAATGATGATGAAAAAATTAATTTTTTAAAGCTATCAAAACAACACTGCGGGTCGGATAGAACAAAATCATTTTAAAATATTATAATTTTTTATGTAGTTATTATTATTATTTATGTTTTTCATAAAATTCCTACTAAAAAACATGATTTATCTTCTTTATTTATTAATTTTTAAATAAAAAAGTGTAATAATTTAAACTAAAATATTTAATTAAGAATTCAAAAAAAAAAACATACTTTAAAAATATATTTTTTTTATAGGAATGTATCCAAAAAAATTTATAATAATGTATAGACTTGTATAAAAATTAACTAATAAAAAATTAAATTTTATTCTTATTTAATATGGATAAGAAGATTATTTTCTTAAAAGCACATGCATTTGATCTACACACACACACAAAGTAATCAATAATGTTAGTATATAAAAATTGTATTTGAATAATTGGTTGACTCTTTTAAACAAATTATTTTAATTATTTTATTTCAAATAAATTGGTTCTATTAAGTTTAAAATATATTCATAGCAAATAATTTGTATTATATGCGAAGATGTGTAGTTAATTTTTAATAAAAATGATGAATTTAAAATATCATATCAAAGAATCATTTTAATTTAAAAACTTATTTTGTTAGGTGAGGTTCTAAAATATGATTTACATTATTCTTTAAAACTTGTTTATATATATGTGTGTGTACACGTACTAGAATTACTTTACTTTTTTATTAAAAAAATCTTCAAACTAATTTACATTTTAGTATAAAAATCAAATTCTTTATTTTAAATTAGGAAAAAACATGAAAAATAGAAGTCTACGTTCCAATTTTTTTTAGTCTAAGATTTTATGCCATCTTTGTTTGAACAAATAAGGAAAAAAAAAAACAGTACTTGGAAAAGAAATGAAGATGTTTACATTTGTAGGTGCCAACCAATCGGGGACCAAGCCGGTGTACCTATCCCTGAGCGACCCGGTTGGGGGTCGTTCGCCCTTGGTCTAGCGCAGCAGGGCTGTGCGGGCTTGGAAAAAAAAATTTGTTTTGAATTCTGGCCACCTTTATAATTTTCGGCAATTTCGATTTTGTCAGAAATATCGCCAAAAAATCAGATTTCCTAATTTCAACCTCCTTAAATCAAATTAAGCCCCATTTTTTTTTCGAAAAAAGCCTCAAAATCATAAAAATAACATCAGAAAACTCTTTTAGAACCTTAAAACTTATTTTAATTCATAAAAAACCACACAAAAAATCAAATTAAAATTAAAAAAAAAACTCAAAATATTTTTGGATCCTAATCTACCTTATCCAATCATTTTATTTTTTTCCACCATATACACACGTAGATTCTACTTGTCAAGCTGAATAGAACGGTGGTAAGCTCGACCATCGTAGTGGTCGAAACTAGTCTCACTATTCTCCTCTCTCTCTCTCTTCTTTGTTTCTCTCTCCTTCAAGCATGAAGGACCAAAATGAAAGAAAAATAAAATTACGGACTAAAAAAAAAGTTATAACATGAGGGATGAAAATGAAAAAATTATTAAATTTGCATATCAACGCCCAAAAATATAAGAAAAATGATGAAAAAACCACATCCAAATTTTACATAAATTGCCACCCAAGTGAACAATGAATTAAGGCATGTTAATAGGCTAAGAATAGTGAAAATCCCATGTCTTTTAGTTTTTTTTTTTAATATGGCCAAGGCCTCTCGGATTATTTAGTCGCTAATTCGATTACCACATGAGGAGTTGAACTAATGAGTTTTCAATACATTAATAATTAAAGCATGGATATGGTATACATAAATAAGCTAAATCTCAAGAATCCTCTAGAATATTGTGAAATTATATAGATTGTTTGAAAATATTGAGATTTGAAAACAACTCCATACACATATAAAACAATACTATAAAAAAAACCATTGTTTTAAAACTTATAATGCTCTTAGTATTTTTAAAATTAATAAGAAAAAATTAAAATATTAAAAACCTTTTGGATAAAAAAAGATTTTTTACATTATTTTCAAATTGTAGACAATGTTTCAAATTTTATGATATTTTTTATAATGGATTTTATGGTTTATATTGTTTAGACTAATGACAAAGAAAATAGAGCATAGTAATATTCAAAAATTCTTTGTCCACCAAGAATTTTGGTCATTGTAAACAGGTGAGAAGATGTACAATTTTAGTATGCAAAACACAATAGTTAAAAGGTTTTTTTTTTTTAAAAAAAAAAACGTAAGAGTGGGTGTACAAGAAGATTTGAGATTGGATTTTGGATCACAATCATAATCTTATATTAATTTTCTCTCACAATAAATAATTACTCTTGAATTTGTAGAGCGTGTATAATTTTATCAAATCATGTTAAATCTTGTATGTGTCTTTATTCATCTCTATTACTTTTGTTTCTACTCGAATTGAGTTATTCTTGATAGTGTTTTGAACCTTGAATTCTTAATTTTCCAACAAACCGGTATCAAAACTCGGTTATGATCTAGGAAGATTTGGCTTTTGATCACGAACAATGTTTGCACATGACAAGTTTTAATTTACCATGAAACAATTTAATAAGCACAAAAGTTTTACTCCTTGGCAGCGAAAAGGTGAAAGACATCTTTATTCAATAAGGCTTGCTCACGAGTGGAGAGAGTCAAAATCAAGATGTGTGAGCACGATTCAATTTTGTATAGTTGCTAACATTATAAATAATATTATGGATGAAAATTTGATGGTTGCAATATGAAAAAAGTTGAAAAATTGGACAAAGAGCTTAACCAATAATTTATATTTGAAATGACAACTTTACAAGCTAAAGATGAAATGAGGTGAGAATCTCATAGAGCACTTGCATGTATTCGTTGGTATGCTAGGTCAATTGTAAAAAGTTGATATCAAGATTGAGGACGAGGACAAGGCTTTTTTGCTTCTTACATCTCCTTTTTGGATTCATTTGAAATTCTAGTGACGATATTGTTTTATGGTAAGGATATAGTAAATTTTGATTAAGCACAAGCCGTATGTTTATCTCGTGAGACATAAGGAAAGTCAAATCAAGAAAATGAAGATGACTCTTTAATAGTGATAAAAAAAGAGTATTGAAAAAGAGGATAAGGTAAAAAGAAAATTTAGAGTGATAGATCTAAGTTGAAGTCTAACAAAAAAGGGCATTCAATAGTACATGTGCAAAGAATTTGATCACATCAAGGGTGATTGAAGAATATGAAAATGTTCTTCTAGTCTTTTAAGGCATTAATATTTTTTTTCTCATGATAGTTAGATATTAGATTCTTTATGTGTGTTCCATTAAGGAATATTTTGATGAGTTACAAAGACGAAAGATCGACATCATGTCTTTGAATGGTGTATCTTTTTGTGATGTTGTGGGTTTTGAAATTATAAAAACCAAAATATTTCATAGAATGGTTCATACTTTAGATGATGTTGTTTTTGTTTTAAAGATGGATAGAAACCTAAAATCCTAGAGCTAGTTAGACTCTTAAAGATATAGTTAGTCTGTTGCGGGTAGAGTCTTGAAAGTCATACATTATTGCACAATCTTGATGAGAGAAGAAATGCATTATTGTCTATATTATCTAATTGAAAAGATAGTGACATCGAGGAGTGGCTGAAAATTGAGTGCACATGATGGTAGTTATCTAAAAAAGGCAAAAAGTATGTATTTTTAGGTTTCAAACGAGTACAAGAGAAAAGATCATGTTGAGAGAAATGGTGGATGGAAAACCTTCTTTGGAGTTAACAAATAAAGTTGACTTGTGACAATTTCATATAAGCATTTGTCATGTTTTTTTAATCAAGTGGAGTTCATAATTGTTTGCTGATTTATATAGTGTGTAGCTAGTAAATTTTAAAATCAGTGGTTATTTTTCATTTTATGTTTGTGGTATTTGTGAGCAGGTATAGTCAACAAACTCCAAAGTTGCAAGAATATTCGTCAAGGTAGAAATTGTTAGGCTTAAGACTCACATTCTTTAGAGTAATTACTAAGTAAATATAGTGAAGTAATGAAAAGGGATTCGGTGCCCACTAAGTAAGTATCAACAAAAATATTATACATCTTTTTGTTAGAATAAAACACCATAAACTATTTAAAACGCTAAAAAATAGATTTAGTCCATTAGTCGTGGATCTAGTTTTTTTTTTTTAATGAAGTAAAGTTTGACTTTCATTTTCTAGTTTTTAATTACAACTATATAATAGAAAACAATAGCCTAATTTCCATTAAACCTATGGACTACTTAAAAAATTTAAGATGATAGTCAACTAGACTACTAAAATTTTGACCATAAAACAGCAGACTCCTGCTTTCTTTTTCAACAACGCAATCCGCTAGCATATCATGAAAGAATGAAAAGCAACGTGAAGCTGCAAAAAAATAATAAGTAAAATGAAGTTTTTATTTATTTATTTTTTTCCCAATAGCTTTTTTTGGAAGAATATTTTCCCAATATTACAATTATCTAGAAGATGCTTAAATAAATAATCTAAGTTTGAACGACCTACCAAACATATTAAAAAAGGCAAACCTTGTATATACTTCCAAACTATTAGAATAATATTAATTTACACTTAAATTAATTTTTATTTTAATTTTATTATCAAAATAATTTGATTTTTTAGTTAAGTATTTTTATTTAATGACTATAGTAATGAAAACCATTAAGTTTGATATAAAATGACGATATTTCTTACGAAGTAACGTACAGCTTAAACAAAAATATAAATAAAAAATCTTAAAAATAAATAAATAGTTATAACCGAGAGTTTTTAAAAATTTTAAAATAAAATTAATAGAAATAATAATTTAATGATAAAATTGATCCAATGAAAGATATGTTTATGATTTGCTTATTTATATAAAAAATAAAAATCACACCCTCGCCAGAAGTTCAAAACTTCCATGCTGGCAATCCGTATATCCTATTTATCTCTGTGTCCGTTAGATCGAGATTCCAATAAACGGTTAATATAAAAGCATGGATAAAACATAAATCAACGGATATTACAAAAGAAAGCAGCCAGCCTGGCAATCCGAGGCATTCTTTCAATTTCTTTATAACAACCGTCAGATGATGTACAACCAACGGTATATATTAAACCACAAAAAACACAATTTTACTGACCGCCAAAATTGCCGCCAATCTGAAAGGTTCAAAAAACCCCACTCTGACTCCTATAAATACCCAACAAACCCGCTCTAAATAAATCATCACTCAAAATATCAATAAATAACTCTCCTCTGTTGTCTGATAGAATCTTTGAGTTTTCCAGGAAAGTTTGCGGAGATGTCAGGAAGAGGAAAGGGAGGAAAGGGGCTAGGAAAGGGAGGTGCAAAGAGGCACAGGAAAGTGTTGAGAGATAACATCCAAGGAATTACAAAGCCAGCAATTAGAAGGCTAGCAAGAAGAGGAGGTGTGAAGAGAATTAGTGGTCTAATTTATGAAGAAACAAGAGGGGTTCTGAAGATCTTCCTTGAGAATGTGATTCGAGATGCTGTTACTTACACAGAGCATGCTAGGAGAAAGACTGTCACTGCTATGGATGTTGTCTACGCTCTAAAGAGGCAAGGTCGCACTTTGTATGGGTTTGGGGGTTAGTGTTTTTTGGGTTTTCTATTATGCTTGTGCGGTTTTCCTTTGCTGAGGAATTTAGATCTTTGGGGGGCTGTAATTGAAAATTTGGATCTTTAATGGAAATTTTTTAGTAATTCTGTTTTCTGTGTCAACTTATTTTTCTTTTTAAAACCATTTTAAGCCATAATAATTCGCCTGCGTATAGTTTTTGGGATTTAATGATATGAAATACTCAAATAAGAGCTTTCTGTTGAAATTTATGGCCTGTTTGGATAGGGCAGAAAGTGAAGGAGAGGAAAGAAAATTTTCCCTCGTTTGTTTTGCAGAAGAAACCTATGGAATGAAAAAATAATAATAATAAACAAAATAACAGTTGGTGGGACCCATTTTCCACCCAAAATTGGGAGGAAAGCGGGAGAAAAAGAACGGCAAAAAATGAACAACATGGATATTCTCATTTTTGCCCTCATCTGTCTCATCCGTCCCTCACATTTCCTCATCGTTAATGCTGCACAACCGTCTGATTTCTCCTAGAAATCGACCTCAAAACCGAACATCAGCAGCAGCAGCACCAAAAGCAGCTTTCCAAAAGAAGTAGATCATCAAAAGCAGCTTCTACAACAATCTCAGCTCTTCAAAAAGCATCAACTGCCGTTGTCAACGCTGTTAAACTACTACCATTTCCCTCCTCCAACTCCACCCTGAAGTCTTCGTCACCATCAAGATCCAGAAAAGAACTTTTACCTCGAAGCCTTGCACGGAAGCTGTTTAAGAAGAGCTTTTGGAGAAAAGCAGGTGATCATCATGGTCAATGTAAAGAAAGCAATGGGATCAGAGGGTGGAGACTGTTCCGTGAGTTCTTAGAGGAACGAGATGAATCTTCTGTTCTTAGTGAGAAAGTTTGCATTTAATTAATTTTTCGCGTCTATAGGTGTCTGCTGGTGGCTCTCTTTATAAATGGCAGGCATTATTCGTTTTGCTACCTGCAATTAAAATTTGACACTTGTTTTAACTTCGATGAGCTCTTAAAAATTGGGGTCAAGAAAATGTAATTTCTTGCAACATTTTAATTCCATGCAAGTAATTTGTTTTTGGACTTGTTATTAGAAGGAAAATTGGGTCTGCAGTTGGAACCAATTAAAAGTAGATCAGTCCATCTTAATGCGTCAAACTAACTTACAATACAAAAAAATAAAAAAAAATTAAGCATATATTAATAAAAAAATTGTAAAAAGGAAAAAGTAAAGAAGGATATTTGATGGGGATATTAGAAAATTGTTTAAACATGGGAAATGGGATTTTTGGAATTTTCATGTGTGTGGAGGTTTTTATTGAGAGGCAGATACGATGCATAGCGGGACTTTGTTAGATTTTTATTTTATTATTATTTATATAATTTTAATAAAATAAATATTAATATAAATTTATTATAAGCATTTAAATATAGAAATGTAATCCTAGAGATATTATGATAAATATATAATAATATATATATTTTTTATAATTATTGAAATAAAAAAATTATATTTTCTTTTTATTTTTATTTTTATTTTTATCCAAACAACAAATAGGAAATAGTTTTTTTTCCTTTCATTTTCTTTGCTTGCAAGAGGAAATATCCAACTGGGTTATCAGGATTGATGGGAAAGAATTAACACATTTCTTAGCGTTGCTGAAAGACTCATTGGCGTAAGGTAGTTTAGCTGTTCGATGTTTGGTCTGTGAAGGGACTTGGTTGAAGCAAATAGGGATTTCTGCTTATTTTTCCATCCGTTAAAGCTATGGTTATTGCAGTTATACAATGTAGATCTACTTTAGTTCCATAAATCAATCAATGCATTACTACTTCAGTGCCCACACATTAGCCTTGTCTCTTAGATATTTACAAATTTGCAGAACCAATGTGTTGTTGATAGAATGGGTTACTAGCTTGTTTTATGGAAGTGCTAGAATTTGTGAATTGGAGTGGCATAAAAAGAAATTTGGGAATGTTATATAAACAAGCCTAAGAGTAATGCCCCCAACATGGATGTTGGTCAGTGCATGTTTTACAAAACGGCTTTCAATGTCTAGGACTGTAGGCCGAATTCTTTAGCTAAGATTCCTAACTATCACTAGTGAAGAAACTAGTGGTCAGTTAAGCGGGAGCTAAAGATCAAGCGCACGGAAGAAAATTGCTCATTGATAGCCATAAAAAGGTAGCTCTATCAGCTTTGATCTAACTATGAAGGGCTGATTTTAGACGAGTGCGGTGCTATGTGAAAGACTCAACAGCCAAAGAACTCCTGACTAAGCTGGAGAGGAGACCGACGACAAGAGCACTGTTGTAAGTGGTTGGTTCCGCTTGCATCCAGTTGCTTCGTGAATCGATATAGGTTTCATTTAGGAAGGGGCCACCAACTACCGCTCCAACAGCAACATTTGGATTGGGATTGATTGAGTCAAGCCACATGAATCCATCCTTGCAGCTAGTGTTGGCATTGATAGGAATTGAAGCTCCCCTGTGATGTACATATTGAGGGTAGTTACTCCCATACCCAACAAGATAGCTCATTTTTGTTGGATTATTTCCCAAAATATAATCTGCCTGAAAATATTTGCGTTTGAGGCCATCAGTAATAAACAAGCAGAAAATCCAGAAATGCAGACATAATGTATGAGGTAATACATTATTGTTGAAGATACCTGAGAAATGGCAAAGTTGCGCAGATCAGCTGGATTGTAGAGTTTTCCATGGCAATATAGAGTTGAAATCTGGGATGTGACCATGTAATCACTGTACAGAACAGCTAGAAATGCAGAAGCCATAGCATGTTGCAAGCAATTCCACTGCGAGACCCATATCAGGCCACCTGCATTGATAACAGGACAATGTCCATTCGATGAGTTAAGGATTCCACCAGAACGTTCAGAGAATAAATATCCATGTAAGAATGATAACTTAATATCAATAACGGTATATTTTATCATGTGCAATGATATCAATAAAGAAAATTACTTTCTGTTCTGCTGGATGTGGCTGTTGGTGAATCTGGAAGGAGCTGACACATGATGGCCTCGGATGTTTTCCTGTACATCTGAAGGTCAAGGTTCTCTTCACTTAAAATCCCTTTTGCACCAAAAATATTTACCCTGGACAACAGAACCTGCCCCAAAGTAAGAACAATACTAGAATTAGTTTTCATAATCATAATCATGTCTGATTATATCAATTCTGACTTAAAGAGCGGCATTGCATAAATACATACATGAGTTCCAGCATGCTTGTCGTCCCAACTAAACCAAGTTGGATTTCCCCAATTAGCAAATTGTTGGCCATTTAATTCAGTTACATATTCGAGATATGACAGGTCTTTGGTTGCATGATAAAGCCAGGTTGCTGCCCACAAGAGTTCATCTCCATATCCCGTAGAGTTATAGTAGTTTTGCACTTGGGGAATGCTGACACTATAAGAACCTCTGTAAGTATCAGCAAAAGCAAAGAGTGCCTGTGCATGCTCAAGGAGAATATGAGAATAATAGGAGTTGATTTTCTTGAAAACAAGAGATGCTGATGCCATAGCAGCTGCTGTTTCTGCTGCAACCTCTGTCCCTGGGAATGATGCATTAACCTGCGTCAACGGCCTTCTCTCTCTCGTAGTTTCAGGCCTTTCCCAACATTCGTGGTCCAGTTCAGGATCACCCACCTAAGGAAGAATTTTACATTGGAATAATTCAGAGATTTTTTTATCCTCTACTAAAGACACTAATAACAGGCAAATTGTTGGTTGACAGGATAGCTTCTTGAAACCATCAAGTTAAGAGCAAGTAGGGAACCTGAACATAAAGCACATTCTCAGAAGGGTGGGCATTAATGAGAAAATCAGTGATCCACTTGAGAGAATCCTGAGCATGTCTTAATTGCTTCGCTGCCTTCATATGTTCTCCATATTCAAGAATTGCCCAAGACAGCATTGTTGCACCGAAAGCCATCGGAAATCCAAACTTCATTAGATCCCCAGCATCGTACATCCCTTTCGATAAATCCAAGTTCCTTTCAATCCCATCTTGTAGGCCTGAATCCCCTCTCCACGCAATCCTGTTATTCACTAACTTCCCAGCTGCAACACCAAACCAATAACATCAACATTTTCAGCAATGATCATTTAGTTCAGTTTCCTGTCATAAAATCATTACCAGAGAGAGTGACTTACATTTTTGCACATCGAAGAATTGCAAAGCAATTTCAAGAGCATCAGCATATTTTTTCACAACAGGTCCAGAATGATGTGAAGCTGGATTTTTCTTGGAGCCCTTGAAGTCCTTAACGATTGTAAATACACCTGCTGCTATGACAAGAATTGCAATCACTGACACTAGCAACAACCAACACCAACCGAACTTAGGTTTTGCATCCTTTACCTCTTTAGCTTCCATTTAAGGCAGTACACACACTGTTATGTTCATCACAAAATTATTTATATCTCGACGAACACATAGATGCAGTGATTATGTGCTTGAATTTGGAGGATCAGACCAAACAAAACATGTGGGCACCTCTTGTCAATGGGGCCAAAATGATGAACAGTTCGGAGTGAGAATCTAAGGGTATGTAAACCGTTGGATATGGGGGCATGTAGACGTGAAGGGTCAGAAAGTGGCCGAGAAAGATGCTTGTTATTGATAAAAGACGAGGTTGACATGGCAGGAACAAGGTTGAGAACGGCAGGGTGGCTTGTCGTTTGTTTGGAACTGAAAGAGACCTTTCTACTGGTACTTTGTCTGTACTAATAACTTGGAAGGGATGATCTAGAAGATAACCGCCTTGATTTTGTCATGTTTGTCAGCAAGTACAACACTGGTTGGTTTAATGGGAACTGCATTTCGTTAAGATTTATGGTGATGCTTTTTTGTTGATGGGTTACTTGAGAAGAAGATTCTATGTATTTAGCTAATTGCTACTACCAGATCTAAGAATGAAAATGCTGTCAGCAACATTGGAGCTTCGAGTATTTGATGAAAGTGTCCAAGTTTTTTGGATTTTACAATTAAAGATACCTCCACGCTAACTAAATCTTTTCTCGTTCAAGTCTTCCATACACTGTTTTATCTGGGCCATGAAAGTCAATTACGTATTCATACATTTACTAAGCAAAAAAAAAAAAAAAAGTTTTCTTACAAATTTGATCAAAATTTGAAAGTGTAACAACAACGAACAGCTTTATGGATGGAGTTAATTGGGATCCGTATTGCCTTTGCGTGTTATAGATTTATGGCGGGAAATGACAACATGTTAGATAGAGCATCAAAAGCCTTGGATTCTCCTAACCAGACAAGTTTGCAATTATGATTTGAAAACAAGAGAATCTATTCGAAGATTGTGAGCAATCAGATCCTTTGCCCGTTTGACAAGAGTAATCTCGAGACAAACATTTATTGTAAACCATTCGTTAGAGGTGAAAATAGTCACTTTATTAACACAATTATCTCAAATCTTTTAATTTTAATCATTAGAATATCTTTAGGTGAATTTTCATCACCAAAACTTTTTTTTTTTTTCCATTAGATCTTGGAATAAATGTTTTTTTTCCTAATCCCCCTTTTTGAATTCAAATAAGAGACAATAGAATACGGAGAAAGCCTATTTACCGTATAATCAATAGGAAACCTAAATTTTTTAGTATCATTAATTAATATCAACAATTTGAGGAAACCATTAATATCATATAAAATTAAACAGAGAAGATGATAGAGCAACAACTAAAAAATGAGAGAAAAGAAAAGCACATTTCAAATAATACAGGATTATTTTATTAATTAGGTGTGGAAGAGAGAAAAGGCAAAGCAAATAAAGAAAGAGAAAGACAAGAGACCACCAACGCTGAATCCCTTCCCTTCTTTGTTTTCTTTACCTCCTCTTTTATACCTTAAAACACGGTTTGTTAGACAAAAGCCCAAAACTCACTCCTTCATCAATCAAACTGTTCGTAGTAACTCTTTCCTCGAATCCCAAAAAAAGGTACCATTTCTCTCTTCGTTCTTTCTCCATTTCTCTCATTTTTCACTCTCTATGTTTTGTTTTTTACACAGTTTGTATTGTACCCTTTAAAAATCTCGGCTTTGTCTTTTAATTGTTTCTTATTTTTTTCTCCTTTGATGAATGTAAGAATACCCTTTGGTGATTTTGTCATGATTTGGGGTTTGATTCGTGAATTTTTTGTGGGTTTCTGTATCTGGGTTAGTGAGTGACAACCCATGTATAATTGGGGTTTTGTTAATTAAGGTTGTTTAATTGAGTTTTCAGTTCTTGATCAAGGTACCCTTTTGCTTTTTTTTTTTTTTTTTATGTATGATAATTTTTATAAAAAAGGCATGATCTTGCTGCTCAATATCCTTGTTGTGAACTTGAATTTGCTTTGTTGTTGACATAGTTCGGTGCTTGTTACTTTTCCTCAATGTAGTTGTTAGTTCATACTAGTGTTCCTGCTTTATGATGCGTTTTTATGTGCTAAAGCTGATGGGTTTGGTTTGTTGATTTGGATTAGGTTTACGCAATCTAGAATTTGAAGTCCTGGTTTTGTTTTGTTGTAACTCAGGGAAGGGTATGGCAGGAGAGGATATTGACTTATCAAGTTTGACGTTGCAAGTCGGAGAAACTCAGGAAATGTGGAAGCAGGAGATGGAAAGGCGACAGTCTCAAGTGGATGTGTTACAAGTGAAGCTTATGGAGGTGAAGGCTTGTGTACAAGGGTCGGAGGAAGATGCGAAGAAGGATTTAGAGGTTCTTTGGCAAAGAGTGAAAACAATCACTACGCTGTTGACCTATTTGAAATCAAAAGCAAGAGTCATGGCTGTTCCTGAGTTAGCACATACATCATGTGGAATAAAGATATTAGAAGGAGTGGGACTTGTTGATAGGAATGGAACCCCACTGTCCAGTTGGTCTAAGAATGTTGATCTCTCTTCATTTAGTCCAGATGAAGAAACATGTATTAGACTTAGAAAGCTACGAGGAAGCCATGATGAACAAGATGAAGCTTATATTGGTGAATTACTTGAGTCTGTGCAGATGGTATCAGATGTGATGGAAGGTCTTGTTAAAAGAGTTATAATGGCAGAATCTGAAACTGAACTTGAGAAAGATAAGGTAACTTTAAGTCAGGAAGAAATTAGAAGGAAAGCAATCCAAATTGAGAACATGTCTTCAAAATTAGAGGAGATGGAGTTGTTTGCTCTGGGTACAAATGGTATTCTGAATGAGATGCGGCAGAGGGTTGAGGATTTGGTTGAAGAGACATCTAGGCAAAGGCAACGTGCCGCTGAAAATGAGCAAGAGCTTTGCCGAGTGAAAAGGGACTTCGAGTCTCTGAAATCCTATGTTAGCAGTCTCATTAGTGTCAGAGAGACACTTCTTTCATCAGAAAGGCAATTTCAAACTATTGAGAGGCTTTTTGAACGGTCAGTGTACTTTGATATTCCTGAAATAAGATAATAAGCTTCGCTACACATTTTCTTTATTTCTAAGATTTTATGATAGCTACAGTGTGAGGTTTGAACTTATATTCTACTCACAGCTTAGGTGTAGTACACAAAGTCCATCCTCATGGTGACATGGCCAACTGATACTGATGTCATGGTCTTGCAATTTCATTAATCGTTTGTGATCAAATTTCAAAATTGTGGTGATTACCGTTTTGTAACTTCTTTCTTGGATAACATAAATTGTTGGCTATGGGTGACAATTCTGGTTGTTTAGAATTATAATGATGTTTGTGTCAGTGCATGCATCGATGATGATGTTATGAGGTTACTGCTTTTACATTTTATTTGTTTGGAAGATTCTAGTACATTATGGCTTATGATTTGCAGTCACCCTAGTGTTTAATCTATATGAATTTTCAATCACATTTTGAATAGCCACTGACATGTATGTTTGGTGGTAATGTCTGTGTTTTCACTCTGCTTCATGGTCCAAGGGGCTTCCGGTCTGTCAGAGTCCTCTACTTGAATTGTATGCTTTGACACTCTTGACTTTGTCTGCACTTGATTCATAGGAATAGTTGGCAGGCTAGTTCTCTCTCTCTCTCTCTCTCTCGGCATCACTTTATCCCTCTTTCAGTTTCTCCTATGTAGTTGCTTTTCAGCTGGATTACTATATTGGTCTATCGTCTAATTTCATTTTGAAGCAGGCTAGTTGCAAAGACAACACAGTTGGAGGGTGAGAAAGTGCAGAAAGAGACTGAGGTTCAGAAACTTATGGAAGAGAATGTGAGGCTGAGTGCGCTTCTTGATAAGAAAGAGGCTCAACTTCTGGCCATGAATGAACAATGCAAGGTAATGGCCTTGAATGCTTCAAATATTTGATTCGGTAGTGTTAACTTGCTTCACCAGCTGGTGGCTTGCGGTGAATGGTTGCTTTCAAGCGCAATGGTCAATTCGCCTGAAGTCTCCGAGGTTGAGGAATTCTATATTGTAGAGCGTCTCAGATCCCTTTTCCAAAATGCAACATTCTAAAGAGTTCAGTGAACTTGCTAGTGCCATTCTTGTGCTTTGTAAAATTGAAGCGATACAAATATTGATCAAAATAGTTGTGTTGTGAGAATGCAAATTTGTCCTACTAATCAAACTGTTGATGAGCTTTGCATCGTTTTGGTAACCATCTGGGGTTTCACTCTTAATTTACACCAGCGAATCTATTCCCGCAATCCTTTCTGCTTGAATTTTTTGGAAGTTACTAAATTTTTTGTTCTTCAGGTTGTTGTTAACTTGTTATACTCTCAATAAGCTGCTGCCTCCCCAAAGTCATCAAGTGATAACTTTCCGGTTTCTTTCCTATTCTGTTTCGTTTCATTTTTAGATAGCATGAAATTATTACAAGTCAATGGTGGTTTTGCCGATTGCCATACATAATTTGAGCTATGGATAACTCACTTATCGAAAAAATATCAACTATTTGATGGATATGTCTGTGAATAATTATTTATGATTAGCGTTACTTAATAACAAATTGAAGTTTTTTTTTAATATTTTTTAGTCAATGGTTTGATCTAGATTACTTTTTGTGTTCTGGTCTCTGATGAGTCGGAGGTTGCTGGCTGATCGTTGGCCATATAGTAGGCAATGATAATTATATTAGCATAATCATTATTATCTCTGTTATGATTTTTGAATATAAAGAATTTAAGGGCCAAGAAGCTGAGAGTAGTCAATGGGTGGAAGGGGCAGTTACGTTCAGTTTTAAATAACGATGATTACATTGTATAACGGTTGTTATGTAATGATTTTAAAATATATCTGTTTGTGATTTAAAACTATAATCTACGCACTCCAAATTATGATATTGGACTTTTGACAGGAATGCAATTTGCTTAAATCAAAATGTACACTTGTTGCTTAAGAATCCTTTTGAGATTCAAAAAAAAGAAAGAACAAAACAATCCCATTTAACTTCTGCTGGCCAGACACAGGCAATGCAGAATTTTTTTGAAAACATATGATAAATATAGAAACATTTAAAATGTAGGACCTTAAGTGTAATATTCCTCAATCTTTAAGGTCTAAAATGTAGTTACAGAAGAAATTCACTATTTTCTTTTCAAGGAAAACCCCCCTACAAAAAACCAATACTTTATCCGATGCCCAAAAATATCGAGTGTTCACTCCTCAGGTAAAACAGAAGGTCTGAAAGGACCAACATACTAAAAATTGGTAATTCTTAAACCCTAAGTCCTGCAAATTTCCATTTTCGAAGTGGTAACAAAATGTTTCACACAACAACTCTGTTTCCCGCGAAAACAACACCTATCCAACTAGAAGATGCTGAGTCTGCTGCAAAACCACAACGCCTCAAACCCACTTATTATAACGACGACGACGACAACCAGGTAACTAAATCACCCATAACTTCTCACATTCTAATCCAGTTTTGAAATCCCATTTTTCTACCCTCATTTGAAGTCGCCCCAAATGGGTAAAAAACCAAAAAAGTAACGTTGTATTTCTATAGCTAAGGATATTAGCGAGTATCAAGTCAGGGCAGTGTGTGTAATGCATGCACAGTCACAGTCAATAAGATTAAATTTTGATCTTGGGCATCGCAATTGTCAAAAATTGCGGCAGTTTGTGTAGTAGAGGTGTGGAGAGATTAACTTGTTGATGCAACGTGCATAGCTGTGAGGGTTATTTATATCTCTTTATTTATTTAATTATTTTTTTCAATTAAATAAGTGTTAATTTTATTTTGTTTTTTAGTTACGCAGGTGTGTTAATTTTGTTTTCTTTTGATCTTGTGATTTAGGTTGCAAACAAGAGACTTAAAGATGTTGAGATCAGCGTTCCGGTGGTATATGGAACTATGGCATTTTACCTTGGTAGAAAGGCCAATGAGTAAGTTGCTTTCTTTTGCTTGTTTTAAATGGTTTTCAAATATTTCTTTGGGTTTTAATTATTGTTATTTTTTTTTTTTTTTATGAATTAGGTTACAGTCTCATAAATGGACAGTGTATTTACGCGGGGCGACTAATGAGGATCTTAGTGTAGTGATCAAACAAGTTGTGTTTCAATTGCATCCTAGTTTTGATAACCCTATAAGAGTTGTTGAGTCTCCGCCTTTTGAGTTATCCGAATGTGGTTGGGGTGAATTTGAAATTGGTATCTCCATACTTTTCCATGATGATGTCTGTGATAAGCACGTGGACATGTGAGTACTTTGAGTAGTTAATGTGGCGATTTTACTTGACGAGGGAGATTATCTTGCTAATGGTAGTTTAATTTTTATTAATTAGGTTCCACTTATTGAAGTTGTATCCTGATGCTGAAAGTGGTCCACAGTCAACCAAGAAACCTGTTGTTGTGGAAACTTATAATGAGATTGTCTTTCCTGATCCTTTGGAGAATTTTTTGGCTCGTGTGCTGAATCATCCTGCTGTATGTGTGCCACGACTTCCTGCTGGATTTAACTTGCCTCCTTCTGGTAAAAGTTTTTGCTTTGTAGATTTTGTCGACAGTGATTTATATGTGGTTACATTTTAATGTTTGGACTGCTGCAGTTCCATGCCCAAATATGAATGTGAGAGGGAAAGGTGATACCAAAAACCATCCATTGAATCACTGGTTTGTTAATTTTTCAGAGGCAGATGAGCTTTTGAAACTTGCATCTGCTCGTCAGCAGGTTAGTCTTAGCTAATTAATTTGATCAATTGGTTTATATTTACATGTGGTTGTTAAGGTGCATGCTGTATAGTTGAAAAATCTGAGAAGGTTATTTAAGAGTCTTAGCTCTGTATGCCAATTTAGGGTGAGGGGGAATTGGCTGTGACCATCTGTCTCCTGCTTCTTTATGTTGGACTTAAGGCTATCGAAAAATTATAGACCCCTCTACATTCCATTATGTGTCCTTGAGAAAAAAGGCAATAGTGGATCTTCATTTTCCAGATGGTTATTGGTTCAACTCGCTCCCAATTGTAGAAGAAATGGTCTCATAATTATGTTAATGTATTATTAGTTTACTCTATAAGCTTCTTCCAAATTGCATGTACTATCAAGTATGTCGTTGCTCCATCTTGTCTGCTTGTTTCAATTATTTCATAGACAGATTGCTTCAGTGTTTAGAACTTGTCAGGATCTTTTCTGATGGTGTATGGAATATGATAGGTGCAAGCTCATATTCTTAAGCTGAGAAGACAATTGAGTGTGTTAGATGGACCACCTCAACCATCAAAACTAGCCTACGGTATGATTTCTCAATGTACATGATTGTGACACATTAACTTTGGAGTTTCGTCATTGAACTTAGATGGTGGGAGACAAATCACTAGTGGTAATTAGATGTAAAAAAGTGTGGACTAGCCCACATTCAGGGACTCTCTTTTAGTTTTAGTTTTAAAGTTCTTTTTCACTAATTTCAGTAAAGAACAAAGTATTCTAGGTAAATTTCAGTAACACGCATGGCTTTGTAGTATTTTGCGACCAGAAAAGAGAAACTACTTGCATAAATTTCTGTTCTGTTTTCATGTCTTGTGAAAGCAAATCATTAGAAAGTTGCTTGATGGATGCATGTCCCAGAAAAAGGATGTTTGAGTAGAAGGTGTGTCATACTAGGCTGATTCTGGTAGTTGGCAATTTTTTAAGCCTTCATAGTGCTCTACTCTATTCATATGTGGCTTAGATCTAATACTTTTTGTGAAGTATGGATTTTTCTTGGTGGAAAGTTGAAAGAAATGTTTCAAAATTCAAGTATGAATCTTTGTGAAATAAATAAATAGTAGTTGTGTGGTTTCTTGTATCCTGTTATCTATAATTGCTCATAGTTGATAATGCCTCGTGATCAGTCCATCTCTGGTCGAGGTGGCTCTATCAGCTCTGGTAGGGATATTGGACATCTCTATCTATCCATACAGGTAGTAATTGAAAACTGATGAGGCTGACTTTTCCAGTGGTTCAATAGGAAGTTGTCGTCGCATAATTTTCTGTGGAAAGTTGCAGATGGCTGAAGGCGTCTTGGGCAATTGGGATGATGTTGCATTACCTTACGACTTATTGATTTGTCTTTATTAAGCGTTTTGAAGACAGCATTAACATACTAACATCAAGGTCAAAAAATTGAAAAAGACAAGGTTGCCATTAACATAAAGGAAAAAAAAAAAAAAAAAATCCTCTGTGGATCCCATTGATGGTTTCTGCCCTTGAAGTCCCTAGGATGGGCCATTCTCTAATTTGTACTTTTCCTATGCCTACTTATTTTCAGTCACAGGAGGTTTGACAGCCGACTCTGTCCAACCCAACATTCTAATAAATTTCATTTCCCCCTCATGTAAAGAATAAACTAGGCAACAGTAGTAGCCCTTGTTGGTTTCAGAAGATTAACAAGTAATGCCTTTCAAATTAGTTTTTCTGTATGGGATGTTGATGATGCACTTAGCACAAGTTTCTGGTTTGGGGGAATGTGGAAGAAAACAAAAGAGATGCAGAAGAAGCAGATAGAGCTAGCCTTGCGAGCCTTAGAACACGGGGATAAGGCTTGTTCCTTTTCACACATGGCAGTCCTAAAATTGTGAGAAATTTGTGGTAGCTAGCAAGAGAAAGAGCCCATCATGCTGAACATGTCTAAAAATTGTATGTCTCATAACAAGGATACGTAAAGAAATTTGGCAAATTTTGAAAAGCTGAGAATGGCATTAATTTCCGATGGAAGACTTGCCCATTTCATGGAAAGGCACATTTATAAATAAATAATTTGGATACCTGCTAAACTACGGGTGAGGTAATTTGTTTACCCATGCCATACTGGAAGGATATGATGCCAAGTGCTCAAAAAATGGTAAAAGAACATTAATAGACTTTTCAATCTGCTTCATGTTCATGGAGAGTTCAGAGATTGTTTTTTGTGTCATTGGATAATTTCAATTCTGATTTTTAATTAAAATTGGTCACAAGCTAATTGAATTTGAAGAAAATAAAAAATAAAAATCCAGTATTTAGACTTATGATCTGTTTGAAAGTCACATTTAAGTTTCACATAATCAACAGAAAAATTACTCAAGACTACTGTATATCGAGTAATGGATGGTTTTGCATTTGTCTTTATCTTCCAATCATAATCTATACTGTTTTGAGTGAAGGCCCATCTGAGCCCTCATGGCCTCAGGGTTGAATCATCATAATTACAAATAGACATGGTAGAATTGCAGGCTTTAAAGGTTAATTCCTCTGTGTATGGCTCAACAAAGAAACTTACCCCTAAGAGACTAGGATATCTCTAAAAAGATTTTCCAATCTTTGAATAGCCTCCAAGGAGAGAAGACTTGAAAACCTTGAGAGGGGAATGAGAGGAAGTAAGATGGTCCCTTGATGTCCTTAGAAGAGGTTACAAGGTAGGGTAAACCCCAGTGGTTTGGAAACTGCATGGCCTTTTTATACCGTCTTCTAAAACACCTTTGGTCTGTTCTTTGCCCCTACATGTCACATGACATTTGTTTCTAACAAAAACAGGAAACAGCCTTCTCTTCTTTGTAATCTCTCCATAAATACCTCTCATCCCCTTCAATCCTTCCCCACCACCCACCACCTGAATTTCTCCTCACTATCTCAAAAAGTTCTGAAGCACGACCTGTCTAAGCTCACCAAATGGCTATAACAAAATCCAACAAGTCTCCTCAAACATCGGCTCTCAAACAAATTGTCAAAAGATGCTCAAGTTTTGGAAAGAAAAATGGGTATGACCAAGATGGCCTGCCTGATGATGTACCAAAAGGCCATTTTGTTGTTTATGTAGGAGAGTATAGAAGCAGATATATCATCCCAATATCATGGTTGGATCGTCCTGAGTTTCAAAGATTACTTCAAAGAGCCGAGGAGGAATTCGGCTTTAAACATGGCATGGGCCTCACTATTCCTTGTGACGAAGTAGTCTTTCGGTCTCTAACAGAGATGATAAGATAAAAAAGAAAAAAAAATATTGGTCAATCATCATAAGCTCTTTTGGTGACGTACTCCAAAAATGAAGCTTTCTGGCTTCTGTCAGAGTTATAAAAATACCTTCAGCTGTCATAACCGGGAAGAAAAGGCAGTGTTTGACGTAGCTAGCTGTCCATATTTGTTTTCATGTATGGAGTTTTTCCTTTCAGAGCAGTTTGTGTTGTGCTAAAACTTTGTACTATAATGAATGAATTCTTCGGGGGAGCTACCCTACTTTTTGCACTTATCTTTCTCTCATGCTTTTGATTTATTTTTTTGTACTAGCTGCAAGTCTGCTTGATCAAATGAAACAATCAAGTTTGTAATTAGAGAAGCTGAGTAGTGTGCATGTCTCAACTTCCAGTCTGCATAAATGAAACTTACTTTTTTTTACTTGAAAAGATATAAGTAGTTAATTAGTTACTAAAAGGTAAAAGGTATTTAATTATTCGGATTAGATTTTCTGTATTCGAATATTGAAAATCCAATTATAGGTAAAATTTGTTACTTTATATATTTTCCCAAGTTTTAGTTACAATCTCACAATGACGTAAAACAAAATATGTCATAAAAGCATAGTAACCGACCAAAAGGGATAGGATGAGGTTTAAGCTTACTATAGCATGACATGAAAAAAACTGTCTAGAAATTATTTTTGTAAAATTTTCGTTCGTGTTAGAATCAATCGTTGAAGCACTGAAGTTGACTATATATTACTGGGTGGCAAAGTACGGTACAATATTCACTGGCTATGGCCAAGATGAGAAAAAACAAACTAGATTGATAGTTTTCTTTATCGCGTAGGCATCAAGCATGCATAGTGTTACGGATTTGGTTTTTTTCGAAGTTCATGATGCAGCATTTGTCTCACTTTTCTATTAAGTCGAATTAAGTCAATCTTTTTTTAGTATTAAGAGGATTAAGTCAACTTTTTCTAGTATTAAGTTGTAAAGTAAAGAAGTCACACAAGAAAAATATTATGAAAACTCTTTGTATTACTCTCAAAATATTTGCAACTTTCTTGAATAGTTTAGCCAAATGAGAGCCTTACCTATAGGATTCCACCTCCTAAATGAGTATAGGATCAATTTGATTCAACGATTACAATTGGTTTTTTAGAATTCTTCTGCCAAGGTATTTATAAGAAACACTTTAGATATGTATACTCTAAAATAATCTAAAAACTCTCTATAATTATTTAGGTCATATCTAGATTTTTCTTGAACGAGTCTAGAGGTTTCTCTATTGCTCTAGAAGCTTCTAGAGGTTTTCAAATCTACCAAGGTATTTATAAGAAATACTTTAGATATGTATACTCTAGAATAATCTAAGAACTCTCTATAATTATTTAGGTCATATCTATATTTTTCTTAAACGAGTCTAAAGATTTCTCCATTGTTCTGAAGCTTCAGAGGTTTTCAAATCTATTTAGTGTTTTCTTTTAACCTTCAATGTCCTAATCTCGTAGGTATAATATTTTCCCTTACTTAATCCTGCGATGTACTCGTTGTGCCTTCATAGTACTTTGTGTGAACTACTACAAGGCTTTTGCAAGTTTCCATCTAACCTTGTTTTCCGGTAGCTCTTTTTATTTTACTTAGTACTCCATTCTTGGTGGCACTCTACAACGTCGAACTGTGGGTTCATCAAGTATGATATTAACCTCTTTGTCATATAAGTCAAAAAGTACTATAAGCATCATATGAGAAACTTCTCAGCTTAAATTATCATCATCCGTATATGGCTTCAATATGCTCATGTGGAATACTAGATGGATCTTTAGTTTTGGGGTTAACTCTAGACGATAAGACAACTTCTCCCATATTATGCATTAGATCATTCGTACGTATTGATGTATTAGGCCCTTAAACACCTATCGAAAATTCTTGTGTTGCTTATGGTGGCAACTTCACCATCATTTTATCTCTCGATCGGAAGTTCATATCTCTCCATCTCTTGTCGACCTATTTCTTCACTTTCTTGGTTAGCTTATTAAAGTATTTTGTGTGTCGAGCTTGCTTGTTTCGTCATTCCTTAGTAAATGAACATGTAGTAAGACTTGTTTTTTAGTACTTATCACCAAACATCATTGTATATAGAGAAAAAGGTTACTAGCTTGTAAATATTTTGAATGGACTCTTATTAGTAAACTCATTCCTCTATAGGTTGTCAAAGAATTAGACAACATCTAACAACTTAACCCAATCTCATTGGTTGGCACTTACAAAGTGCCTTAATTACGTCTTCAACAATGAATTAACCTACTTGGTAGACCATCTATTCGTTGGTGAAAGCTTGTGGAGTAGTGCAATTTTAAACCTAGTAGTTCAAAAAGTTTAGTCCATAACTTTCTTGTGAATCGAGAGTCTCAATCACTAATGATATATCGTGGCACGTCTCAATATTTCACCTAATGCTTAAAGAGAAATTTAGCGAGTGTTCTTTATAATCACGTTTGTTAGGACTAGTATCAATGTCTCATACTTAGAGAACTTATTCACGACCATGATAATGCTTCCAAAGTCCCATACTTAGGTAATGCCATAATATAGTCCATGTTAAATATCTCTCAAAGTCTCTCTCGGATAAGGAAGGTCTATAACGGTCTCCAAGGCACTCGATTTTCCATTCTATCTTGTTAGCACGGAAGACATGTCCTAATATAGGACTCCACTTCCTTGCACAATTGCAGCCATTAGTATGCTCCTTCTAATAATTCCTTAGTGCATTATGTCTTGGATGTCCGACCTATATCGAGTAATTGTATTTCTTTATTAGATCTCATTATAAGTTTCCCTATTTAAGAACATAGATTCTCCTCTCTCTTTTTTTTATGAAACGATGTTATTTTTTTCTAAAATTTTTTGAGTTTTTCCCTTATTAGTAAGGATTACTAAACTCTTAATGATAGAATCGTGTTTTATTTCTTCCTTGATTCTGGCCACGATCTCTTCATCGACTCATGTCATATGACGTAACTCGACATTTTTACTATGAGTATTTACTACTATGTTGTTTTTGTCCAGACTTATACTCAATAGGTATAGTCAAACTCACTAAGAAATTCTTACCAATGAGTTTGCTTTGGCATTAGTTTTTTTTTTTTTTAAGTATGAAAATAACTCATGACTACATTATCGGTCTTCATCATGAATCGAGACTCAATAGATAATGCCTCCCATTACGTAAGTAATGCACCACTATTGTTATTTTCTTCTTTTGCATAATATATCGACATTCGTTATCATACAACTTTTGACTCTTAAAAACTATAAGGTGTTATTCTTGGATCAACACATCATCTATCACAAAATTAGAGGCAATGGTCTACACATCATATGGCTTGATTAGATTCGCTAAGCTTAATACGGCTCTTCGGTGACAACTATCTTTAGCTCTTTAAAAGCTTCTTAACATTGATCGATCCCCTTCATGTCTTGTTCTTCTTTAGCAAATCAATACCTCAATAAGAGGAGATGTCTTTTCCAGGTAGTCATGAATGAAGCAACAATAATAGTTTACTAACTTGAGAAACGAACGAGGTTTAGGCACCTTTATTAATTCTTCCCATTTTGAGATAGTTTTAAACTTTTCTATATTCACCATCTACCTTCCACCTTTAATCTTAGATCTTAAAAAGAGTACTTGCTCTTTTGTAAAGAAGCACTTCTCTCTTTTGATATACACGAGTACTTGCTCTTTTGTAAAGAAACACTTCTCTCTTTTGATATACACCTCAGCTTTTCCTTAGTATCTTGAACTCAATACATAAGTGGTCTATATGTTCCTCTAATATCTTGCTACACATCATAGTGTTATCAAGGTAGACCACTACAAACTAATCTAGGTACGACTAAAATACTTTGTTCATCAAAGGACGGAAGGTAGCTAAGGCATTAATCAAATCAAACATCATAACATAGAATTCATAAGAACCATATCTTATCACATATATTATCTTTGGCACATCTTAAGTAGCAATTCAGACTTGATAATACTTCAATCTCGGGTCAAATTTGGTATTGAGCTTTTTTTTAACTATTCGAACAAGTTTATTATTAATAAAATTGATATTTATTCATCACCATGACCTTGCTCAATGCCCAATAGTCTATTTACATTCCCGCCGATCTTTTATACGTCTTTTGGAACGAGTTCTAGCAAACTACAAAGAGATTTAGATGGTTGGATTTATCCTACCTTTAACATGGTCTTCAATTGCTTTTTTAGTTCTTCTAATTTATGAGGAACCATTCGATAAGTTATCATGGTTGGTTACTTAGCACCAAGCATAAAATCAATTTGATGATTAATCTCTATCTTAGAAGGAAACTTCTTAGGAAACTTTAAGGGTATCATATCATCACACTCGGTAAATATCTTTTAACAATTTCCTTAGGTATCTTAGCACTATCATCTTTCACCAACCCATCTTCTATTACTATTGCTCAATAGGTAACTTTTGCTTTCATTAAGCTCTTATTTACCTACATAGTAGAAAAAAACTTTGTAACTAATTTGTTATATTCCTTGGCTAACATCATAAATGGTGTCTCTTCCTTCAAGATTACTATATGGTTTAAGTATAGTGAAGGCACGACTTTGGCTTACTTAAAGAACTTTGTGCCTAACATGATTTTGAAGTTATCCATTGCTACAATTGTAAAATCCAACATCCTTTTCATATGTCAATGCTAAGACTTAGCCTCCGTGTCATGCCACTAGTAGATTTAGGAGAAGCATTCATTGTTTTTATGCTACTTAGTTGACTTGCTCGCTATCAACCTAAGTCTTTTGGCCTTGTTTTTAGCTATAAAATTATGTGTGGCACCCTTGTCTAGAATGACAAGGTTGGTCTTGCCATTTACATCCACATCTACATACATCGACCTATTTTTTAGAGGTGTCTTAGGCGAGGGCTTGACATTTAGTGGCATTAAGCGAGTCATAATGAACTCATATAATTCTCATGCTTAGGAGTGTAT